ATGTAAAATTCTCCATCAAGTAAAAGATTCTAACAGCCCACAAAAGTAAGTGTTTCTTAGCAAGAGGTAGAACTTTTAAACATAGTTTGGAGGATCTTGTCTATAATTGTGATTAGATAATGGAGGTTTATCTGTAAACAGATACAACTTTTGAAAAAAAAAGCTTCATTTCTTTTTATTGGAAAGTCAGAGTTTGAGAGAGAGGAAGAGACCAAGTGATGTTGTATCTGCTGACTCACCCTGCAGACGGCTACACTGGCCAGTGATGGACCACGCTGAAGCCAGAATCCAGCACCTTCATCAGGTCTCCCATGTGAGTGGTGGGAGCCGTCTTCTGCGGCTTTTCTGAAGCAGGGAGCTAGATGGGAAGTGGAGCAGCTGGTAGCCATGATAGATGGGGGTGTCACAGGCACTACACCATAACATTGACCCCAACAGACACAACTTCTTAAAAGACCTGTGAACGAAGCCTGTGGGCATTCCTCTTCCACCTAGACATGCATTACTTTGTGACAGCCTGTGATTCCCACTGTGGGGAATAGGATAAATGATAGAACTGTGTCTTCTTAAAGCTATATTTGGGAACTGAGGACACAGAGATGTTAAAACAGGCTCCATTCTGGGGAATGCAAAGCTCTCCCTGGATGAATAGAACCTAGGGTCATTCTCTCACTGGGCGTGTGCTAGAATTTGCTGAGTCTGTTCCTTTTGAGAAGAAGCTCATACTTAGAGAGGTGGAAGAGTTCTACAAGGGCAAAGAGAGACCAGTGGAGCTCTTAATGGGGTGTGCATTAGCACAATAGACAAGAATTTGTGGGTGCCCCAAATGTAGAGCTGATTCTCTGCACCTCACAGCTTTCCCCCTTGAGAATTTTGCAGAAATTCTAGCAACACTGGAGGCTGTGGGCAGGTGGGTGCGGGGGGCGGGCAAGCTCTGGAGCAGGGAGCTGGTTCTGTCATTCATGGCTTATCCCAAAGGAGTGACCTGCTGTGCACACAAGGTAAACATCCCTTTAAAGCTTTTGGAGCCAGAGATGCACATTAAGACAAATTAAAGTTACAACAACAAAACCAGATCCAGCTCAGCTCCCTAATGGATTTAAGTGATTTACTTCTCACTTCAAACAGCAAAAAGCTGGCTCTTTCTGAAGGAAGTGCATGCTGACTCCAGTTTTCGTGAGGCCCTTTAGAAACAAGGTCAGCAGTAGGATAAGAAAGGTAAGAAATATGTGAAGATTAAGGCATAGGTGACTCCTAAACAGCTGTTTAGAATCAGTATTAGCCAGGGCAGGCTTTGGCTCGGCAGTGAAGATGGCTGTCAGGATGGCCACATCGTGTGTTGCACTGCCTGGGTTCTATAACCTGCTCTGCTGCCGATTCCTGCTTCCTGCTAATGCATACCCTGGGAGGCAGCAGTTCCCAGCAGGCCATTGCAAGGATCCTGGGGAGTGAGTCAGCAGGTGAAGTGCTCTCCACCTGTCAAAACTTAAAACAGGTGTCAGCACTGAGAACTAAGAATTGCCTCAAAGCAATGATAAGTATGTTAAAGATATTAGAGGAGAGACAAAAAAAATGTAAAATACAAATTCAGCATGAATGGCTGTAAGTTTAAAAATTTTGGTACCCATTAAAATCCAACACAAATTGTAGCTAAAAGCACAATAGGAAAAAATGGAATAATAAATTCTTTACTGTAGTTTTAGTGACGGTTTGAATTTATGGTAATTACAATCTTGTTGCTTTGTAGCAAAATTGCATTCTGTTTTTCATGTAACATTTCACTTTTTTTTTTTTGGAATTGAAAAATAGACATCTGATGACGCCTAAAGCTTATTTTTTCCGTAAATGGTGAGGTAAGAGACTGCGGATTAAAGCTCATCAGAGCATGGGCTGGGCCCTCAGGACCGCATACGTAATGTTTTAAGAGTGAAAGGTTGTGGAGGAAGGTCTGTCTTGGGGTCAAGGGGAAATACTTGGATTCTTAGCTAAAAAAGCAATCTCTTCCAAGTGCAATTACCCCAAAAATGCTGACTTCTTTGCCAAGAAGAAAAGCGGGGGGTGGGGGCTGATCACTGCAATTAAAGTGTTCTGCGGGTGGATTGTTACCGACGAAGCAGGATGAAGCAGAGTGTGTCCTCATGTGGTCCTGGCCAGGATTTCACACCTGTTCCTTCTGCCATAGCAGGACTTTAGGAAGATCTCTTCTGCGAGAGTCTGTGAGGAAGAAACAGTGCCATCAATGAAATTATCATTATTAACCCCAATTGTATCTTTCTTTCATCCTGTGCTCTAAAATCACTTCTTCCCACATTCGCATGTCTTTAAATATCTTCAGTGCTTAATGATATCTTCATGTTTATTCTCTCATTCATGTATTCATTCAAGAGGGAGAGTTAGAGGAAACAAGAGACAGAAGTGCAAACAAAGGGAGCTGTTTCTCTTCCCAGATACCCAGGATAATTTGGACTGGGCCAGGGCCAAAGACAGAACCTGGGAATGAAATGCAGGTGTCTGCAATGTAACGGGAGGCATCCAGTTCCTTGAGCCGTCACTACAAGGGGTCTGCCTTGTGACGACACTTCAGCCAAGGGCCACAGCTGACACTGAAATCCAGCAGCCTGCCTGTGCGATGCGGGCATCTTACCTTCACCACTAGACCAAACTCCTGCTCCTATTTAAGTTTTAAGGTAAATTGTACAACTCCACGCAACCACCAGGTGGTATCACTACATTGACATGGAAAAAAAGTCAATAATATATTTTTGAGTCAGGTAAACAAAATTACTGTTGAACGATGTGGATGGAATACATGCATTTGGAGAGAACTTTCCATTTTCACTTTATACTATTATAGATTATTTAAATGCTCCATTTTTCCGTGAAGCTGTTGAATGACCCTCATATATACCAGTGTTTTATGAAATTATTAGTGGTTTTCAGTATTAGTTTGTTCCTAAAGGAGAAGATTCTTAAAAGAAAATAATAATGAGCTGTAACTGTTTTAATATCTTTTTGCTTTCATACCTACTTCAACCACAAGAATGTGCCTATCCTATCCTATTAAACCATAAAGAATTCATTGAAATACTTTCTATCATACAGTTATCAAAGCTACCTAAATTCTTTTTATCAACAACAGATAATAAAGTAAAATGAATATTTCAGATTTTTCTTTGATTTTTGGAAATAAATTAGCCATCTTACTGTCTTGCAGATACTTAGAACTTCTTACAGTCAGGTGGCATGACAAAATCAATAATACATTCTAGAAACTTCTACTGAAGGTGATTTAAAAGTTTAAAAGGAATAGGGAAGATGAGCAAAAGGATTTGTCTTACCTGTGGAAGCGTTCTTCCCTTTCTTTCTTTCTGCATGTGTACCGATGTTTTCACAGTATTGTAGGCCATCGGTTTCTCTGACAATGCGCTGGTGCTCTGCAGATCTCCATGAATTGTCCTGTGTGCTCATTCCCTCTCCGCAGCCGGGAGCTCTCACTGCAATCGGTGGGAGGCAACCTCGGCCTTTGGTTCCATTAAGTTCTTTGCAAATTTACTCAAATTTGAAAAACTGAAACACACGCACACTTACTTTAAAATAAGGCGAAAGATTCTGCTTCACCAAATAGCCCAGTGTTAATGGTTGAAGAGCAAGGTATTTCTGTTCATCCAGCATCATGCTCCTAAGGAAATGTACTCTTTGTCAGTCACCTATCATGGAAGCCAAGTATTTTATTTTCTGTGAATCACCAGAATCATGCAGCATTTTGCATCTGTCTCCCGTGCCTTGTTCTTGTCACTGGAAGCAGATGTTCATTGGGTACGTTGAAGTCATGAATGCTTTCCATGCGTTTGGTGCATGTGGTGCTGCTGGTAGACCCAGGAGTAGCGTGCCCCGGAAGTGGCTGTGGGGTTTGCTCAGGCTGTTTGTGTCCGGCGCTGGCCTTGGCACTGTTGGATAACGAGTGACCTCAGGTTCTGTCTACACGATGACAAATATCAAAATTTCCCTTTTTAAGCAGTGAATACATATGCCATTGTCTGTATCTATCCTGCTTGTTTTTATGTTGATGGACACTTGGTTACTTCTACCTTTGAACTGCTGTGAATGATGCTTAGACATATACAAGAAAATCTTTGAGTTCCTACCGGCAGTTCTTTTGGGAATATATTTAGAATTGGTATTTCTGCAGCATATGATAACTTTTTTTTTCAGGACTGCTGTATTTTCCATAGCCTCTGTACCATTGAATATTTCCACCAAAAATTCACATGGGTTCCTATGCCTCTATGTTCATCCTCAGTAGTTTATATTTTCCAGTTGTTTTTCATAGTTACTACTTTCTTGTGTTGTTGCTCGAGGTACTTTACTGGAACAAGTCTTGGCTATGTATGTTTTAACTCATAGGTTTAACATTGTATTTTATGAATCTGAAAATTATAATGCAGATTTTCAAGTGTATTTCTGGGTATTCAGTCATTATCAGTATAGAGAGAAAAAAAAAAGGAATGCCTATCAATCAATGCAGATTATTCTAAGAATTCCACTCTGTCACACTGACTTCATTTCTCCATTGATGGTAAACTGAACTTTGTGGGTCCAGCGCAGTAGCGTATCAGCTAAAAGTCCGTGCTTTGCATGCACAGAAATCCTATATGGGTGGGAATCCCATTTGGGCGCTCGTTTTAATCCCTGCAACCCTGCTTCTCATCTAGCTCCCTGCTTGTGGCCTGGGAAAACAGTCAAAGATGGCCCAAAACCTTGGGACCCTGCACCCACATGGGATACCTGGAAGAGGCCCTGGGCTCCAGGCTTCAGATTGCTGTAGCTCCGGTTGTTGCAGCTGCTTGGAAAGTGAATCATCAGATGGAAGATCTTCCTCTCTGTCTCCTCCTCTCTGTCTATCTGACTTTCCAATAAAGACAAAAATAAATCTTTAAAAGAAAAGTGAACTCGGTGACTTGCAAGCAAAATTTTACTCACGTCTGTTCTTCTTTCCTTAGAAAATCCATTTCTCACTGCCGAAGAATTAACAGGATGCTCTCCAACGAATCCCTGCATTCTCCTGCCTTCAGCCGCTCTAACTCCCAAGCCTCCGTAGACAGCGCCTCCATGGAGGATTTCTGGCGGGAAATAGAGAGCATCAAAGAGCATAGCCTGGGAAGGCAAGAGGAGCAGTCGCCAACCGAGGCCAAGCCCGTGGATGGTGAGGGTTTGATTTCTTTGCCTGTTGAGCTGTCTGTTTCTGTTTGGTTGACAAGCAGAGATCATGTCATGATTGGCTGAGCAAATGAGTTGGTAGAAATTGTCATATCCGCTTCCTGCTCCCCTTGATTTCTATGTGGAAGACTGGCTCAGGATGGCTGTTGTTCAAGATGACGTGTTCTTGTAGGCTGTGTGGACCTTGACACAATTCAGGCTGATCCTTCACATGCCACCACTTAGAGATGTGTTCCCGGACTGTGGATTTGATTCACTGTCGTCAGGTAGACGGAGAATTCTAATTTTGGTGACTTTTAGCCTTGTGTATCGATTGTTAATTACACAGAGAGAATGATCATAGTATTCCAGTTACATCTGCTCCTCAGATGGAATTCAGCTTTGCTAGTTTCTTCCTTCATTCCTCTCTTCCTTTCCTTTTCTTTCTACTGTCCTTCCCTTTTCTTTGTTTCTTTTTTTCTTTCTTCTTTCTTTCATTTAAAAAAGTAATATCACATCCTTAATATTTTCCGTTCATCTTTTCTATATATCCAAATTTCTGTCTGATGATCTTTCCTTTTAAATTAAAGTGCTTCCTTTAGCAGCTCTCACAGCACAAGTTTGTTGGGATACATTTCTCTCACTATTTATTTGGTAAGGAATATATTTCACCTTCATTCATGAGGGATATTTATACTGGGTAGGAAATCATCAATTTACAGGGGTTTTGTTTGTTTCCCTTAACGTTTTAAAAATGCCATTCCATTGTACTCTGCCTTTCATTGTTTCTGATGAAGAGTCAGTGTATTCCTGACTCTTCTCTGTTATTATTATTATATTATTATTAAATTATTATTATTATTAAATATTATTCTCTACATATTTCAGATTGGATAAGTTTTTTTAAGTCAGAGTTTCAGAGAGGAAGATATGGAAAGAGAGGTCTTCCAGCAAACTGGTTCACTATACCAATGGCGAGGTCTTTACCAGACCAGAGCCAGGAACCAGGAGTTTTATCTGGGTCTCCCATGTAGGTACAGAGCCCCAAACACTTGAACAGTACATACCACCGCCTTTAGCAGGGAGATGGCTTTGAAATGGAGCAGCCAGAACATGAACTGGTAGATATATGGGGTGCCAGCATTGCAGGTGAAGCCTTTCCCTCAACCCCACAATGCCAGCCCCAATTTGAATAATTTCTGTTGATCTATCTTCAAGTTCATTGAAGATTTCTTTAAAACCTCTAAAATGCTATTAACCACCCACAGCCAATTTTTACATTTAATATATTTTGATTTCTAGTTCTACAATGTCCATTTTAGTTGTGTTTCATGATTTTTGTTTGCACTTATTTGCTCAGATTATTTGCCTGCCTACTCATAATGAGCATCTTTTCCTTTGTGTTCTTGAACATAGGTTTAACAGCTGTCATTTCAGAGACACTTTGTACTGACCACTTTTTCTCACAATAAATTGGTTTTTCTTTGTTTTTTTCTCTCTTCCGTTTTTGGTTGCTGTTTTGGTTTTGTTTGCCATTGTTTCCTAAACAATTAGGAAAATAATCATTTTTATATGGCTTTCACATTAAGTGGGTATTGTGAATACTCTGGAGATAGAGTATACAAGAGGATATGCATGACTAGCTACAAATATTGTGTCGTTTTATTGGACAAGACTGAGCATCCATGAGTTTGGGTCTCTGAAAGGGTTCTGGAACCAGTCCCATAAAGATATCAAGACACAACTGTGCTCCGTTATCTTAGTCTAAAGGAAATTCATTTTTATTCTAGTCATGAACTTAATAACTCATGTTCCCAACAATCTCCCTTGCTTTATGCACCATCTGTAGTCTTAATGCATTCTTTGAGCCCTCAACTATTATTTTCCAGTGGGATACTTGTGGTAGCCCACATACCTTTTATCTCAAGGGTTAATCAAGAATTTGATGAGACTTTATGCACAGATATTAACACTGTGTGGTGCCCTACTTTTAGGAAAGTGTTCCTCACAGCCCAGCTTTCCTGATCTATACATCTGGGAACACTCTGACTTCACAAATAAGCTTTCTGTAGCTTTCTGTTGGAGCTCTATGAGACCTAACACAGAGTGACCTTAATGGAGAAATGATATAGATATGTGGGTGCTGTACCCCACATATGCTGTACTTTGACCCTTTTGGGCTCATTGGAACCAGCCCATCAGATCCAAACCCCAACCATCTCCCCCCGCCGGGCTACAATGACATGTACCTGTGAAGGCCTCAAGAGTGTAACATCCCAGCCTTCCCTCTGCTCTGCTGGAGTTGCCACCACTGGCCCGTCAGCAGCCGTGTTACCACAGGCTGGGGGCAAGGGACTTTGCCCATGTGTTTGCAGGCTGGCTGGGGTTGCCTCCCCAGCCCTCATCAGAGCCAAGGCACCTGCTGCAGCTCTCCACCTGGTGCATATAGGTCCCAAAGAAAAATCAGTGTCTTACTCATTACCAGCTCCTCCCCGTTTCCCAAGGGAGCCTCCGACAACATACACCCTCCACCCAATGCAGTCTCAGTTGCAGCGCTCTAAGAACAGAACACATTTTGGATGCTGTTATTAAGAACCAAACGTCAATACAAAATTCAAGTTGCCAGTTCAAAAAAAAAAAACAAAAACAGCATGGCTTTTTTTTTTCCAGTAAAAATTGTATTTAACTCTCAGTTCTTACTTGCACTTAGTTCATCAAAGCTCTGATATGTTCAAATAGTAATCATTTTATGTATTTTGTTCAGAGTTTATAATTATTAGATACAGGACTATTGATTTGACACAAGTTCTTCCATTTTTCCTAGAAGATTATATTCCCTCTTTGATATTTTTGCCCTACGTATTTACTGAGCTGGTGGACTTTCATATGCAATGGGTTATATTATAGTTAAGTTTGTTTTTTGACATTTATGTTTTTAATCACACTGTATTAATTACTCCTTTTTAAAAAAACATATTTATTTGCTTGAAAGGCACAGTGACAGAGAGGGAGACAAACTCCTCCCATCCTCTAGTGCACTCTCCAAATGCTTTCAACAACCAGGGTTTGGCCAGGCAGAAGTCAAGGGCCGGAACTCCATCTGTGTCTCTTACATGGGCAGGGACCCAAGTCGTTGGGCTGTCTTCTTCTGTCTTCTCAGGTGTAATAGCAGGGAGCTGGACTGAAAGCAGAGCATCTGGGACTGAGCCAGCACCCTCATGTGGGATGCCAACATCACCAGCAGTGACTTAAACCATGTGCCATGTTTGTGTCTTATAGTTGACATCTTCTAATGTATTTGGATAATTTCTTTAATTGTATTTTCAATGGAAATTTATTACTTAGTTCACAACAGGTGTATATATAGCTTCTGTATGCCAAGCTGCAATGCGTTACTATTCAGTTACAAGTAAAAGCAGGAATGTTTCTTTCTCTCATGGAGTTCATCTTGTAAAAGAAAAAGTCATTAGTGAAATAATATGAATAGGTTGATTGGGGGAAATTTTGGAAGGAAACAGAAATATCCAGTATTTGGCTTGGTTGCAGTTGATTACGACCTTGCCTAAGGAGTGCAGGAAAAAAAAAAAAAAACTTAATTGAAGAAAGGATGTATAAACTGAGTGGCCAATGATAATGGGATCAGAAAGGCCTAGCATGTCCAAAGGCCTTGGGTTAAAGTAAAGTGTGTGGGGAGTGTGAAAACACACTGATGTTGAAATTGATGGGTACAAGCAATGGAGATGTCATAACTGTCACCTTGATGGGAAAAGGCAAGGGAGATGTGGCTTGCTTGCTCTATTCCTTGGACGCTGACTTTTGTATATTGAAATATGGTTTACTTAAAAGGTCTAGAATTGTGAATGAAGAATATGAGTTCAGGTCTGAACTTGTTGAATGTGATGGATGGCTGAGAACTAAGTAATTATCAAGTATGCAGTTAGGTGGATGGGACTGGCATTCCAGGATGCTCTGTGTTGAACTTACTTACTAGGCAGCTGGAGTAGGGAGCATTGCAATGCTTTGTATTTCATTCAGCAAACAGTGGAAACACTGATGCTGCCAGAGATGTTTCCTAGCTGTGTGAGTGCTATAGTCCAAATCAAAGGATTTAAGTCATTCTCATGCTGGCTTATGTTAATTCCAGCCCTACCAATTCCTCATTCCTCTGGCTTTTATTACTTCTCACAAAGGTAGAGGGGAAAATTCCAGATCTTAAACTGTGTTTATAAATGCTATCTTCAGAAAAAAAGTCTCATTTGAGGTTTGAGTGAAGGAAGTGTAATTCAGTAATTCAAAAGGCATATTGTTGGGGATGGTGCCATGACAGAGTAGACGAAGTACTCTCCTGTAGTGCCAAGCATCCCATAGATTCTGGACAGTAAGTCCAGAATCCCCAGTGATGCAGTAGTGTAAGCAGAGTCATCTTCCTGGGTCAGTGTTTTCACAGGCTGCGTTCAAATCAGTCTACTGTTCTCTGGTCTTCATCAGGTAGTGCCAGGAAATGCTTGCTTTTTTCAGTTATAGAATGTTGCTTTTTTTCCCCTAACATTTTTGTATTTCTTTACATCTAAAATACAATAGCAGTGTAGAATTTTTACCTGCTTTCTGAAGAAGAGGAATGCTTAGCTGAGGTTCAGAAAAGGAGGGTGGCAGAAGTGTAAGCATGTATCACATCCCTGCTTTATTCCCTGTGCTTTACCCTTTCAGTAATACTTCAGTAGAAAGCCTCATGCCAGTGTAATGCTTTTGTTCACCTTGCTCCCACTCTGATATTTATCTCTTCTTTGCCTTCAGATCTCAGGAGAAGGGCTGTCAACTCTCCCCTTCCCTAATGGAGTTGCTGGTCAGGAACATGTGGATGATTTTACTGTGCCTATCAGGGAAAGGTGCTTCTTTAGCCTGTGGTTGGCTGGCTGTCCAGGCATCTGACTCATGACCAAGTTCCCTCTGTTTGGACCCTTGTTGATCCCAGCAGATGTTCTTGTGGCTTTGGTCTGACCTTTGTCCTGGTTATTCCTAGAGAAATAAGTAACTTCTAGGTGAACCCTGGCCAGGAAAGGTCCTGGCAAGACACAAAGGAGATAACTCAACAAAATAAATTAAAAGAGAGAAGCACTTTTATTCCTGGCACGCCCCTGAAAGGAGGAATGAAGGCGGGGAGGGGAGCCATCCAGGACTTGTATGATACTCAGAAGGTTAGGATCAAGAGGTCAAAAAAAAGTCAAAGCCCTTGTTACGGTCCAGGTCTTACACAGGAGGTTTCCTGAGGGAAGATTTAATTCATGGGGTTAGAGCAAGAAGGTTCCCAAATCATCACTTAAATGGTGACACTGGAATTTCAATCTCTGTTTGAGTGATTTAAAACTCTTGTGTTCCATTGAACCATGCCTTTATCTACTAAGCTTTTAGTTTCAATATTCTTATTGTCTTGTTTTTTTATTGTTTTTAAATTTTTAAATTGTTATGCCCTTTGTTGAGGAAAATTACCTTTCACAGTCTTCCAGTTAATCTCACTTGACAACAAAGTATTTTGGGCTCAGCACGATGGCTCAGTTGCCTAAATCCTCATTTACAAGTGCCAGGATCCTATATGGGTGCCACTTCTAGTCCTAGCTGCTCCGCTTGCCATCCAGCTTCCTGCTTCTGGCCTGGTATTAAAGGATGACCCAAAACCTTGGGTCCCTGCACCCATGTTGGAGACCCAGAAGAGACTCCTGACTTCACATTAGCTCAGCTCTGGCCCTTGTTGACATTTGGCCACTGAATGGAAGCTTCTTTTTTTTGTGTCTCTCCTTCTCTGTATAAATCTAATCTGCCTTTCTAATAAAAATAAATAGATCTTTTTTAAAAAGAAATTTAAAAAATTCATCTGTGTAAGAGATACAATACACACTTCTCACTGATTGCTGTAGAAAACAACGCACTTGTATGTTGCTTATTATTATTTTTTACTTCCCATCGTGTGAAGACTTGTAGGCATGTACATCATGCAGTCCTAAAACAGTCTAACTCATCCTTGATGATGCTGCTTTGCAGAAGGTGAACTTGAAGCAGAGTGGTTGCAAGATGTGGGCTTATCAACTCTGATCTCGGGCAATGAGGAGGAAGACGGCAAAGCCTTGCTTTCCACGTTGACCCGAACGCAGGCAGCTGCAGTGAAGAAGAGGTACAAAACCTACACTCAGACCCTGAGGAAGAAGAACAAGCAGTCCGTCCGGGATGTCAGAGACATCTTTGGAGCCAGCGAAGCTCCTGTAAGTCATGTTCCTGATTGGAAAGGTTCTCTGTTTCATTTTTGCTGGGGGTCTGGCATGGAAGAAATACCAGAAAAGGCTGGTTCCATTAATTTTCAGGGGGCGGAAAAAAAAAAAAAGAACTAAATAGCAGAGAGCAAAATTGTACCGATTTGAGCTTTGAACATTGGCATCTCCAATACTTCAGGGTCTCCCTCCACACCAGATGTACTGCCTTCTTTGTTGCTATGGGTGAGTAACTTGAGTAACGTCTTTGATGATGGGGCAAGTCTTTGGAATGGGATGCTCACAGCCTTAAGTAAGGACTGAATGAAAACTTTGTGTTCAGGCAAAGGAGTGAAGGGAGGTGGTGTAAGGATTGCAAGCAGGTTCAGGCAGTTTTAAACGGCAGTAGAGAAAGTAGAGCAGTTTTATGCTCAAGTGAATGAACATGGTCAAAAGTGGAAGGTAGCAGTGTGATGTGGGTGACAGATTTAGAGAAACTCCAGGCAAGCATCACCTGTGCAGGGATTCGCACTTGCTGGTTGAGGTTCCAGGTGACCCTGGAAAGTTCCCGTACTTCTGATGCTGTCAGTCATGGTCTCATGTGTCTATAGTTGCTTCGCTGTTAGCTCCACCTTGAACTTGTTGGTTCATTGATTCACTGCCTCACCACAATGTTGTATCACGATAGTTGCATCACTGATATAACAAATAGTTATGGAATACATTCATTATGTGAAGTACTACATTTTCATGGAGACAAGATTCTTGGGCCCAGTGCCGTGGCGCAGTGGTTAAGGTCCTCGCCTTGCACACCCAGGATCCCATATGGGCGCCGGTTCTATCCCAGCAGCCCCGCTTCCCTTCCAGCTCCCTGCCTGTGGCCCGGGAAAGCAGTCGAGGACGGCCCAAAGCTTTGGGACCCTGCACCTGCGTGGGAGACCCGGAAGAGGCTCCTGGCTTTGGATCGGCATAGCATCGGGCCCGTTGCGCTCACTTGGGGAGTAAATCATCAGACGGAAGATCTTCCTCTCTGTCTCTCCTCTCTGTATATCCGCTTTTCCAATAAAAAATAATAAAAATAAATCTTTAAAAAAAAAAGAAAATAAAAAAAAAGAAAAGATTCTTGACACTCTTGAGGTAATTAGTGTATAGAAGAACAAAGGTAATTTTATGTTATGCTTTAATTATAACCAAGTTACCTGGGGTATGTTAGCTGATCAGTAGCGTTTTTTATCTTTCACGATAAAATGAATAATGACATATAGCTCCAAAAGTATTTGGTAAAAATTACAATTGAAGACAGTCTTCGATCTGAGTTACTTTAGGTTGCCTGTAAGTTGTTTTCTTTCTGAGATTTATTGAGTAAATGGTGCAGTCCCAGAATAACTGACATATGTCTAGTTAGCCTTTGCATCTCTGCTGATATGTCCTAGATTAGCACTATGTGTCAGGACTTTTTACACTGAGGGAAATTATCTGTTCTTTGGTTTTCCAATATGGTAGCCATCAGTCATATCGTGGCTACCAGCATTTCCATTCACTGATTCACTCTCCAAATGACTGAAGGCCAAGGCTGGGCCTTGCTCCAGTATAGGATGCTTGATGTTGCAAGTGACAACTTTACCCACTGCACCACAATGCCAGCCTCACTCATCGAGTCCTTAAGTATGAAAAGAAATGACCCAACTGTTGTTTCTCAATGATATGCAGGTGCAGTCAAATGCAGGCTATCACCTCCAGGAAGAACAGAGGAGAGCACGTTTTGGTAGGGAGCAGAAATGACTGCTGTTCACCTGCTTATTCCTCCTTCCAGTTGTCCAAGAGAAACTCCGCTTCTGGAGTGAACTGAAAAGGAAGACTCAGGCGGGATGTAGCTAAGACTGACCACATATTCTGTAGAGTAGAGAGATACTGCATCACCCTGAAATATGGGCTAGTTGGACAAATGGAAACTGATTTTAAAAAAAAAAAGTATATTGTTCCTCAACAAAAAAATGAAAAGAAAACATATAAAACGAACATTTTAAAAATGCTGCATTTATATCAGGCCTAGTCAGCATCTTAAATTTTTCTCCCTGCCCCCCCCCTTAAAAAAAGATAAGCATCATTTTTTGAAAGTAAAGATATTTCTGAGTTTTTAGGGAGCGTTGTTGGGTTTCCTGTTGGAATTTGAGCATAAAACACCACTCTCTCCCCCTTCTTCTGTTCTCTGTCCTGGTCTGTCTCTCTCTGTGCTGCTGCTTCTGCCACCCGTGGCTCTTCTTTCTTTCTTCTTTTCTTTCCTCATTCTTCACTTCTTGTTCCTTAGTCTCTGTGTGTGTGTCCTTGACTCATTGCTCATTTGTTCCTTTCCACTCTTGGTCTGTTTCTTTGGCATCATGTCTCTACCTGAGTTAAAGAATGATTTAACCTTTTCCATTTAACTTTCTTATTGGAGGCTTACCATAAGTTCCATAAGGTGATTTTTGCAAGATATTAGTGCAGGAATTTGACCAAGTCTACTTATCTAGTATGGACACAAATGCAATCATTTAAAAATCAGATATATGGGTTATAGAAGTCAGTTTACCCTTTGAAATATAAAATTCTGTGGTTAAATGATATTCCTTCAGAGTGTGTGTGTGTGTGTGTGCACGCACACATGTACATGCATTCTACCTTCATGGATAGCTCTTCAAGAGTGGTTTGGTTGCTAAGATTCCCTGCTTTTCCCTCGTTGCCCTTTTATTACAACAGTCTCTTCTTGCTTTTCTGTTTTGCAGAGCCTCTTAGCTCTCTCAGCGTTCTAAGTTAAATATTAAGCTCTAAAGCTCTCTGTTTTTCTTTATGAACATTTGTTTATTTTAAGCCTCATTGCTTTACTTTCCCTTTGCTGTTGCTCAATCAGTTTTGATCCTTATTGTCGGTGTTTATAACTGAAAAACTACATCAATTCTACATTTCACAGAATAGATTGTATGAATCAATTCAAGAGTTACAGATTATTGTAACTACTAGGAAATACCTGAGCAAGCTACTTATGAAGGAAGGAGAAGTTTATTTTAGCTCATGCTGACGGAGATCTTTAATCCAAGATTTGATAGGTCTCATGGGTTCAACAAGAGGTCCTACCTGTCCAGGCTTTGAGAGGAAATGCTATGCCCATTCTTTCCTCCTGTTACCTTCCATTATTATCCTCTGCATTGTGGATATCTCCTTGCTTTCCCCGTTTCCCTTCTGGATATGTCATTTTCTTTTACAACAATTCCGATACTTTGTCACAGAGCTTCTACCCTAACCATTCCGTGTACTCCAATCAGCTCCCCAAAGGCCCTATCTGCAAACACCATAAACAAATTAATTTCTACCTTTAGTACCATTAACCTAAAGGCTTTTGTGACAAATCCTTTAACACCTAAGCCTTTTTGGGAAATCCAGCATTCAATCTAATATTGCAACAAGAGTAGTTAGGTAATGACTTACTAGCTCCTTTGTAATTGTATAGAACATCCATTTCCCAAGAACTCTCCTGGGAGTAGGGGTGTGGCCCCATGTGAATACAGAAGTGTGTTAGTTGCTACCACAGCACTTGAAAGCCCTTAAATCTGGCTTCAATGCTAAAATTAGGAGACGTCTGAAAAATTGTAATTTGCTTCCTCCCTCGCAAATTAAATTCTGCTTTTCATCATGAAGTGCCATCCAACCTTCCTTCTGTGGTGTGGCCACCATCCCCTCCCTGGGACTACCACCTCCATTGCTGGGCAGGTACTCAGAATTAGCTGCTACCTGTTCTTCAGTGTTTGGGAGAGCAAATGATGCAGCTGCCCTTTGTCCGGTCACCTTGCCATCCTCCACGTGGTGGCTGTCTCCTTGCTCTTTTCATTTTGTTCTGGATATGTGCTTTTCCCACATCAGCATTTGTCTCTTACTCGTTTTTCTTCTGTGTCTTTTTCCAGGATGAGGTTTTCTACCTTTATCAAACTGCTCTTTCCTGCTTTTTATCTGCCAGGAGCTTCCAGCAAGTTCTGTTCTGATAATGGAATGTTTAATGGTTTTTAGATCTACTCCCTTAGAAAGATATCTCTTGTGACACCTTGAGTGGTTTTCAGAGGAAGGAGAAAGTGGTATGTGCTTTTTGCTATCTTGATCCAATTTTCTTGTAGTGACTTTTTTTCAATAGCATTTGTTCCTTTCAAAAATGAATTTTTTTTTTATTACAAACATAGTACATAATCTTTACTGGAAACAGAAGACATAGAAAGAGACAAAGTAAAGAATAGCGATTTATATTGACCCAGATGCATTTCATCGTTGCATTAAATATCAGATAAATTTAATTTTTCGATTGAGTTGTTACAGTAAGGAATATAGTGTTTAACCCTTGTTTTGCTTGATCCATCTTACACTGAATCAGTAGTGCTGATTCAATCTCTGGATTTGCAACCTGCAATCTACATATCTGTTTATCTTAAGCAGGATTCCAGTACCCAGTACTTATTTATAGTATTCAGAAGATGTGAATTAAATATTCTGTTTAGTAGCACATTTGCAGAAATAATAGTTTCATTCATCTGTAATTTCTTAATTGATATTAAATTAGCTAAAGGTAAAACTGATTTATAACTGATTATATAAGTAGAATTGAATAAAGCATGATTTCAAAAATATGATTATGTCACTTAGGAATCCATTTGATGGAATGTAACAGAAAACTCAAGAAAACAAGAAACTCTACAAATGTGAGATTATTTTTTCTCTTCAGAAAAATCTAGTAGTGGGTGATTCTCTTCCATAATATAAATCCAGATTCTTATTTATTATTCTTACTGCTTTCTTGTGAAGCCTTCATCTTTTCGCTTACAAGTTGCTTGTGTCCCTCCAGGCACTATATCCAAGTTCCTAAAACTTATATCGGTGTCTCTGTTCCTCTGACCTTACATTCCTGGAGAGCCAAAGTTGGTAGAAATTCTAGTTATCTATCCTTGCTCAGAGCTTTAGCATTCCTGGTTGAAAAGGAACCTGAAATACTGATTTTATTTTTAGCTGGACAGAAAACCTTCTGAAAAACATACCAAGATACAGTTAAGGGAGGTGTCAAGCCAGACTTAGGGTGCACAGAGCAACAGTATTGTCAGCAGAGAATAATGCCTGTCATAAGGCTTCGCACTTAGTGAGTTCTCAGTGTTGGCTGATGAATAACCAATGCAATGATCTGTCTGTAAGCAATCATAGCTGTGGCTATCTCCACAACTCTTTGCTAACATACACACACTACGCTTACCACGTAAACAGTGAACAATGGGAGACTGTTCCTGCATAAAAATGCACTTCTGCTTTTCTCAGTAGCCAGGTGGTATTTTTGTTATTGTTGCATTCCAACTCCTCTTTTGGGTGTGACCCTGATAGAGAAGAGATGTTAGCTGTTCCCAGCAGAGGTAGTCAACTGGTGAGATGGGTGTAAGCAGGTAAGCAAAAGTAAGGCTTTGAGATAGGAAAACCTGGAGCAGAGCATACTTCCTTACCTTGATACAATGACGAAAAGAGGGAGACGCTTCAACTCAGACATGAATTATTAATGGCTAAATTCACAAATAACTGTGTGCCCTACGTCTGTCTACAGTGATAAAAATAAGCTGCACAGTGACGGCCAGAGGCAGAAATCAATGTGGGAGTGTCTGTTCCACTTTTGTTTTCTTGGTTGAGCTCAACATGCAAAATCTCATGTTGCCCTACACATGTCTTTCAATATTAACTGATTTCTCACCGTAAGAAATACTGTGATATTTCAGCTGTTTTCAAAATGTGGATATCATATGGGAGACGGTGCCGGATCATTTTTAACATAGGATTGTCTTGTGAGAGGCAGCACTCTATCCTCCTACATGAGTTAAGTCGGGAAAATGTGCGATCCAACCCAGGGAGAAAACACCTGGTCTTGGCCCATCTTCTCCATTTTAGGTCATGGCTTCAAAGAATGGGAACCTGAGGACCCTGGCACGGTAGCCTGGTGGCTGAAGTCCTCACCTTGAACACGCTGGGATCCCATATGGTTGCTGGTTCTAATCCCGGTAGCCCTGCTTCCCATCTAGCTCCCTGCTTGTGGCCTAGCAAAGCAGCTGAGGATGGCCCAAAGCCTTGGGACCCTGCATCTACATGGGAGACCTTGAAGAGGCTCCTCTCTCCTGACTTCGGATCAGCTCAGCTCCAGCCGTTGTAGCCAATTGGGGAGTGAATCACCAGATGGAGGTTCTTCCTCTCTGTCTCTCCTCCTCTCCATATATCTGACTTTCCAATAAAAACAAATCTTAGAAAAAAAAAAAAAGAATGGGAACCTGAGCTCTTCTCTGCCAGTGCAAGCTTTCTACTTATGAGATGAATCTTGTGCCATGCACTGCACCACATGCCATGATTCTCCTTCCCAACGGTATGAGCCACAAAAGGTCAAGGTGGCTGACGGTGACCTCCCCTGGGTCTAAGGACTGCAGGAATGTTGGAGTAGAGACATCGCTCTGTTGTGGTTCAGTTTGCTTCTGTATAGGTTTCCACACTTTGCTTTTCCCTACACCTGTACCTCCCTAGATCTCATAAAGAAGGAAAACATGACGATGTTTTGTTTTGGTACATTTTCTTTTTCTCTTCCCCAAATTTCACATCCTAATGCATGCTAGTCTTACTTGGTCTGTTGTGGGGTTTGGTAGAATTGCTTGTGCCCATTTGTGCTCCAGCAGTGGCTCAGTTGCCCCAGGGCAGTATGGGACCCCATGAGGAAGCGTAGTCGGTTAGGGCTGCGAGCAGTCCTGTTCAAGTGTCTCATCTCTAATTTTGTTTGGTGGTTTCGGTATTTGTTGACTCCATCGCTTGCCTTGGCAGCAGGTGTTCTCAGCCTTTAGGATGCTGCTTCAGAGCAGGGCGTTTCTATGCCATACTTGTAGCAGGACACTGATGGTCTAGATTGCCCAGGGCCCTCCCAGCAGCAAATCCACACCCTCGGACCAAGGAGGGACAAGTTAAGGCAGACCTGAGAACTTCCAAATAAGGGATTTCGTTTTTCTAAATTTTCATTTTCTGATTTTTTTTTAAGTTTTTTTTTTTTTTTTTTTTTTTTTTTTGGAAAGTCAGATATACAGAGAGGAGGATCTTCCATCTGATGGTTCATTCCCCATGCAGCCGCAATGGTTGGAGCTGAGCTGCTCCAAAGCCAGGAGCCAGGAACTTCTTCTGGGTCTCCCACATGGGTGCATGGTCCCAAGGCTTTGGGCCATCCTCGACTGTGTTCTCAGGCCACAAGCAGGGAGCTGGATGGGAAGCAGGGCCACTGGGATTAGAACCAATAACCATATGGGATCCCAGCGTGTGCAAGGCAAGGACTTGAGGACTTTAACCGTTATGCTATCACACTGGGCCCAATTTTCTGATATTTTTTAAAAAGCTAGTAATTATTAAAATTTGTTATTTGAGAGAAAGAGCCAAATAGAGAACTCCCATCTGCTGGTGTAAGCCTCACATGCCTCAGGCCGATTCTAGGAGCTAGGAACTCAATCCACATCCTCCCTGCGGGTGGGAAGGACCCAGCTATCGGAGTTGTTAAATGCTGCCTCCCACATCTGCATTATCACAACACTAGAGTCAGGATTTGGAGCTCTGCCAAGCCCAGGGACTCCAGTATGGGAGATAAGTGGTTTGACTCCTAGGTGCAACTGCCAAGCCCAAATAATGGATTTCTTTGAGCCTTTTACCTTGCCTTGCCCGACTCCACCTGCTGTTATGATAGCCTTCTCACCCACTTGGTGCATTGAAAGAGAGAAAGGCTGTCACGCAGGAGTTGTACATATGGCTGAACACCTGACACCGTGACGTGACATCTACAATTTATTGGCCAGTTTATTACTTAGAGCCTTAGGAGGACACTCATACCATACAAGGCATGTGTGGAATGCACTGGGAACAGAAGGAACAACCAGCAACCGCAGGCTGTGTGGCTTCAAGATGAAACTTACGACTATTTCTGGGTGAACAACTTGGTTTTCAGTGCCATTTTGGACCTTTCCTTGAGAAAATACACCCCTTGTTACCCTGGAGTGAATGAGTGAGGATTTAGGAAGCAGCATGTTCTCAGTCCTCCACCCTGAAGTTCTCCTGTACTGTTTCTTGTGCATTGTTGCCACTTAAACATGTGTGTGTTGATAATATGTTCTCTACGCTTTGAAGAGAGTTAGAAAACAAGATGAAAATTTCACTTTCTAAGGTCTCATATGCCAGTTTGTTATTTTGCTCATATCTAATATGTTTAAATTGGAAAAAGTTTCCTCAGTCATGGAATGTAATATTTGCTTCATTTGGGGGGACTCCATGTATTACAAATTCTTTGATATCTTAAAACTTATACACAAGGCCTATAATGCAATCCATCCCTGAAAGAAGCCTGGTTTCCAAATATGCTTCCTGCTCAGTGAAAGTCGGAACTTTGCCAACACTTAGCGAATTGGCATCAAGTATTTAATTCTGTCCTATGGATTAATGAGGTATTCAACCCACTGTATTTCCTATCATAACTTTTCAAAACTGCCTTTTCTTGCTATTGATTTAGAAATCATACAGAATACTGCTATAGAGTCTCATTTCAAAACAGCAAGGTTTTTATCAGTAAATTGTATCCTTTGAACATGTGAGATTGGTTTTCCTCACGGAGCAAGCTGAAAATAAGATGGCCATGGCTGGTATGGCTGCCTGGGCAAAGAGCCCAGGCAAAGACTTAGTCTTTGCTTTCTATTGTCCTCTGTACATGGGCTAATCACCCAATCCTCAAAGGAGTTGTGGGCAACACAAACGCTATGCTAGAAGAGCATCAGTCAGTTGGGTTCATCCACTTTAGCAAGAAAACATTCACTTTTCTGGGTTATTCCACTGGGTACAATTCCACTTCTCTCACTGGGCAAAACTATCACCTCATCATATTTACTCTGGGGTAGATAGGTAGCATCTGGAGTAAAATCGCAATATTGCTAAATTAAGGAAAGGAAGTAGAATTTTGCAACTGACAATGTCTGCTTCTTGAGAGCAAGTCCATTCTAACACAGCATTTCTGCAGATCCATATACTGTGGACAGATCAGTAAGTGACATTGTAGATGCTCAGGTGATCTTAACTCTCTAACTCCACAAAGCTGTACAGGTATGCATCTTTTGTGCAGTTGTGTAATGATTAGCTAATCATGTTTATACCAACTATACCTGGATAAAAATGACTTGAAAGGTGACTGGCCTTGTGGTTAAGATACCCACTAAGACATCCGTATCCCTTAATGTAGTACCCGGCTTCAATTCCTAGCTCTGGCTCCAGACCCCAAGTTTCTGATAATGCAGAGTCTAAGCAGGCAGTGATAATAATTCAAGCATTTGAGTTCCTGTACCCTTGTAGAATACCCAGCTCCTAGCTTTGGCAAGGCCTAATCCCAGCTATTTCTGGTATTTCAGAAATGAACCAGAGGATGGGCGCTCTCTCTCCCTCTCCCCCTTTTCAATGCCTCTCAAATAAATATATTGTAAAAGCTTTTTTAAAAAGTGACTTTCATTTTCTTTCATTAGCCAGATGACACTTGTGACAAGCACCCTACTCAGTTGGATGGCACTGATGAAAACAAGGAGCCCCCAGGAGTTATCAAAACATGTGATTCCATGGTAAGTTACAGCAGGGGACAGAGGGGTGGCAGCGGAACAAGAGGCCATTTCTTCAAGACAGTCATGCAGAACTTGAAAAAAAAAATCACAACATCACAAAGATGACTGGAGAATTGCAGCTGTCAGCATCCCTGTCTGTCTTTGATCAATTTGTAACAAAGAATATTCAGTAATTGTAAATGGGCTCAAGTTTAACAGGAAAATCAACCAATAACTGCATCTCTAAGAATAGATTCATACTTTGGAAACCAGTTTCTTTTCTTTGTAGATCTCATGTTTTTAATTTTTTAATTGAATTTAAAATGGAAATGTTAGTGTCACCAAGTCCTAAGTCTACTTGCTGGGGCATCAGCTGTCCAGGGGTTTTCTAGTGTTTGCCCAGTGTGGACGGATCCTCCCACGTCTTCCTCCTGATAGCAGCTGAACCCTGGCTGTCCCGATTCCTTTTTCCTTTCTTCCTCCTCCCATTCTTGTTCCTTTCCACAACATCTGCCCCTGCTGCCCACTTTTTTAGAACAGGGTAATTAGCCACACTTGAAGCCAGTGATCAGGCCTGTATTCACGTACCATAGGGCAAGATTTTGGATTTGATTAGGGCACATCCTGAGCCTTTTCTTGCATCTGTCTTTACTAGCAGTCCTAGCCCAAACTATCTTTAGCCTCCCTTTGTGTAGCTGATGTAAAATATTTTCCCTTTTGCTTTTCCATTGCTAAATCTTTTCTTCTTTCTCCCAAATAGGAAAAAAAAAAAAAGCACAATGGCAAATCCCAGTGGTTTCTATGTTCACTGTTGAGATGATGTTAGGGGAGACTTCTACTTTGAAGCGGCAGTCATGCACAAAGCCAGGCCTGGCTATTCCTTGTTAGTCATTTTCCTTCATAAGTTAAAGGAGATAGTAGGAGTCATTTCCATAACGTTCATCATTTGCTTATTTCCATGCTGTTTTCATGGGAAGTTAGGTAGATTTTGGAGAAGAACAGCATTGTTCCTGCAATTTCTCTTTGACTGCAACTTGTACAAGGGCTTCTAGGGTAATTTTTTTTCACTCCTTGTTTAGTTGCATTTTGTTTATTCTACTAAACTGTGAGAAAGGCTTGATCATCTGGCTTAACATTCATCTTTTCCCATATTATAGTCCTTCTCTGCTCGCTTCGGCGACACCTATACCATAGTCCTTCTTGTTACAAAAGTAATACAAAAGCTGCTTTACATATCAAAAATACTCCACAATCTTCTACCTGTTTCCAAACCTTTGTTTGACTACAAAAACCATCTACTTTTTCAAACACATCAGATTTAACTTTCAAAAAAAGCTCCATAGTTTTCCAGCATGAACATTTTACTGGGTCATTTCTCACTGTTCTGAATGAGTGAAAGTTTTGAACAGAAACTTCACTTGTGGAGATTGAAGGATGACAGATCAAATCTAGAGAAATTGCTCAACATTTTTAATGATTGTGGAAATGCAAATAAAACCAAAATAAGGGGCCCAAGAGTGGCTGATTGGTATCTTCTGCCTGTGGAGCCAGCATCCCACATGTACTGCTACCGCACCCTACTAATGTCCTGGGAAAGCAGCAGAGGAAGGCCCCAGGCCCATGTGGGAATCCCAGAAGGGGTTCTTGGCTCTTGGCTTTGAACTGGCCCAACTCTGGTACTGATAACCATTCTGGTAGTGAACCAGTGGATGGAGAACCTCTGTCTCTCCCCTACTCGCTCTAATTCTTACTTTCAAATAAAAGTAAATGTTTCTTTAAAAATAAAATGACGCTAAAATATGTCTAGACACCTGTAGAATAATTGAAATTTGAAATGAAGAAAACTGACCATATCAAGCAATGCCAAGTTTGGAAGATTTTAAACATTGTTGGTGAGTGTGAAGTGATGTATCTACTTAAAAGAGTTGGTCAACCTCTCGATCTGTTAAGGCTTACCTATCATAAGGCCCAGCCATTCCACTCACAAAGCATATGTAAAGGCTGTTCTACAAATCCTTGTTTGTCATAGGCCCGAACTGTAGAAAACAAGCCAGGTGTCCATCTGCAGGTGCTCCAACGATGAAGCATCTGTCTACACAATGTGATACCCTTCTGCAAGAAAAAGAAATGACGTGATGATTCACATAACACGAAATGATCTAAGGCCATTATGCCACGTGAAAGAAGCCAGAAAAAATCCTTCCATGTATATAAAATTATAGAAATATAATTTCTCTGCTAAGGTGAGAGAAAGAAAGTTGGCGATTGTCAGGAGAATTGAGAACTGGGCAGCAGGAGGGGAAAGGAAGACTCTCAAGGCGTGAGGGCACTTGGGGGATGCTGCTTTTGTTCATTCTGTTAAATATGGTAATAACTCCACAGGTCCATATTTTTGCCAAAGCTCCTCAAGTCCTTAATTGCATGTCGGCTCTGTCTTAACAAACCTGTCAAAATAGAGTCCATGTTGAAGTTCAGTTTCATTGATAGATACTAAAGCAATAATCATGTATTATGTGACATTGACCCTTGACTGTAAATCACAAATGCTACTAAATTTAGGCATTTCCAGAATGTTTACATTCCAGCCTAACTTACTTTACAAATCACTTGTTATAGGAATGAAGACATTTGCCTTATGTTCAGGCAATATAAATGAAATATTTAGTTGAGGTGTTAGTTTATTGTAAAAAGCAAAGTAATCCATCTAGTTTACTTCCAATGCCGTAAGTGAAAATCAAAGTTACACTACAAAATCCAATCATACCATCTGCTAAAAGTCATCAGTTACATCTGTGTTTACTTCATACAAAAAACTAAGGAACCTTGATTTAAACAAGTAGAAGTTTGTTTTAATAGCAAAGCAAAAAATTGATGATTGAGTGGACCAGGGAAAAAAACTGAAAAATAATGCAGTGGTAACTCCAGCGTGGACTTCGGATACTTTTCTGTGATGATATGGCCTTAGTATGTGGATTTAGTCCTTATACATGTTAGATGCCGTGGTGATGTTCTTATCGGAAACACGTGCTGATTGTCTGTTTTTAGCAGATAGCCTCGTATCTTCCATATGCTAGTTCAATCCCCAAACGCCCATCATGATCATGGCTGGGCCTGGTCAAACCTGTGAGCTGGGAACACATGCAGGTCTCCGTAATGGGTGCAAGGAACTCACCAACTTAAACTGCCTTCCCAGGCTGCACTGGAAGGGGTTGGGCCGGGGGCAAACTCAGACACTGATGTGGAATCCTGCTGATGCTAGCCAGGATTGGGAGTGTTATGCCAAGTGCTTGAGCTGATTCTCTTTATTTTTATTGACTTTCATACTGTTCTAAGGCATTATGATTTTTTTACATCATTTTCTGCTTGAGTTGCTTCGTCTCATAATTTTAGGAATAAGATTTGTTAGGCTTTATTTATAATCTGCAACTGTTTGAATTATTATATGTCTTTATTTTGCTGTATTGCCGAAGTCATGAACTTTCACAGAACTTTTTTTTTTTCATTCATCTTGGTCAACACTCAGTCTTTTCCATCTGAAAACTGTTTTATTTATTTATTTTTTCTGTTTTGGACATTTTCTTCTGTTATTTTTCTCTCCATTGACCATATCCCACCTTTCTAGAATAATTTGTAGATGACTGTTGCTTTGCTAGAGTTGAACTTCATTGTCTCATTTCTTCTCATTAGTCTTTGTCCTATGTACCACATTCCTTCAGCTTTGTGCTTCAGATTGGTATTATTTTCTTCGTCACAGTATCATCAGGTTTGTCTCATTTTTTTAAAAAAAATATCAGTTTCAATATTCTTGTTTCTCAAAAAGAAACTTTTTCTGTCTCGTTTACTCATTGTTAAAGCAGTATATTCTTGATTAAAAGCAGTAGCACACCCTTAGATCTCTCACAGGATAAGAATTGAATTATTTTCAAAAAATAAATAAATTACTTTCATTGGATTTTTTGAAGTATAACTTCTAAATGCTATTTATTTTAGGTATATAATTGAACTATTTTTAATAAACATGCTCACCCATCACTCTTTTCTTTAAGACTTTTTTGTTTGTATTGGAAAGGCAGATCAGATTTACAGAGAGAAGGAGAGACAAAGAGAAAGATCTACTTAGTGGTTCACTCCCCAAATAGCCACAACAGCTGGAGCTAAGCCAATCCGAAGCCAGGATCCTGGCTTCTTCTGATGTCCCACATGGGTCCAGGGTCCCAAGGCTTTGGGTCGTGCTTCACTGCTCTCCTAGGCTACAAGCAGGGAACTGGATGGGAAGTGGGGCAGCTGGAACATGAACCAGCACCCACATGGGATCCCTGTGTGTGGAAGGCGATAATTTAGTCACTGAACCATCACACTGGACCCTCACCCATGAACTGAAATGTATAAAGCCATTTACTTTTGTGGCACTCCAGAACTTTCTCAGACTCTTTCCTTGATGGACAAGCCTCCTGTGAAGTTATAAAGATGTTCTTTTGTAGCTGGTTTGTTCATCTAAAACTGTAATTTGGAAATCTTTTTATTCCTAACAATAATTACTTGTCTGTTTATCTGATGATGGGCATTTGATTTGTTTTCAGTTTCAAGCCATAAAACATGCTGTCATGAACATCCGTGTAGTATAAAGGATGTGTAGTTTCATTTATTTTAGGTAAAAACTGTACTTAATCGAGATTGTGTCACCCCATCACCCATAGCTTCTAAGTTAAGCAAGGCATAATTTAATAGGTGAATCCTACATAACTATGTATGTCTTGTGTGTTTACAGACAGAAGCAACAATAACAATAAAATGTTTTATACCTCTCCTGGACAGAGAATGCTTTCAATTAAAGCTTGTTTTTTTTTTGTTGTTGTTGTTGTTGTTTAATCTATGTGAACTCAAAAAGAAAAATAACAGACTACTTTGTACATGTTTTTTTCAGTGGTCTCGATATCAACCAAGATACAAAGGTTTGTTTTTTCCAATTATTTTCCGCTGTAAACAGTGGAAATGTACAACACCTCTCCGAAGTGTGAAAGCTGTCTGGTCTGGGAACGTTGGGTTGAGGTTGTGCCTCCAGTGGAACAAGAGCTCTTGATGGACTTCCTCCTCTTCTCCCATGCTCCATTTCCTTCCCAGCCCCTTGCTCTTCATCCTCTTCTCCTCCTCTTGCTTCTCCTCCTTCTTTACTATGTTCCCTGGAGTAGTTTTTAATAACCTTTATATTTCACAGAAGTTTTGGATTTACTGCACTGCAGAGTTCTGTATAACTATGCCAAAGTACCTTTGTCATTAACATCCTACTGATTAATATACTACCTTTAAGACTTTGGCACAGCACTTACAAAGCTGCTTGGAATGTCCCCATCTTTTGTCAGAGTGCCTGATTCAGGGTCTTGCTTTCCCTTCCAACTGCAGCTTCCTGTGAATGTACATCCTACGAGGTAGCAAGGACATTGGTCACAGCTACCTACACGAGGGTCCAGGTTGAGTTCCAAGCTTGTGCCTCAGTCGGGCTCAGCCTTAGCTGTTACACACGTGTGAGGACTGAAGCAGCAGATAACAGATCTCTAAATCTCTTTCTTTTTGTATGCTATTGTCTCTGCATTTGAAATAAAAATTTTTAGATAATAGCCCATGGAGAAATTGAGTTAAAAGTAAGTTTTAAAAGACCAGTGAATCAGCACTGACGTATTATTAACTAGAGTCCATGGATGAGTTCTCAGAGAGAGCTTCTGCTTGAGACCATCAAACCTCGCAGTCTTCGTGCCCAGCTCCCAGCCTCTCTTCTGTTCTGCTTTTCCTGTTTTCTTCCCCCAGAGATTTTAATTAATTGATCCAGATCTGATGGAGCAGCAATGTGCTGATAGGAACTGAAACCTTCCGTCTCTGCCATCCTTCTCAGCCCTCAGCATCCTTGTTTGTGCAAGATGCAATTGCTGAGGTTACCAGCTCTGACCCCATTCTGACCCTGTGTCAGCTGACCATGCTGGTTTTGATCAGCGAAGCCTGGGCTTTCCTGGAGGCATTCTTGGCAAGATTATACTAGACCTTGTCAGCCATGCTTATCACACAATCCTTCTTAGCCGCAAACAAATCTGCAAATGAAGGTTTCGTTGTGTTTTTTTGTTTGCTTGTTTTTTGTTTTTTTGTTTTTAATTAACTCCCTAGTATTAAGCCAAGACGTTATTGTGGCTAAAGCAGTGTGTGGCAGGAGAAAGCAGTGTTTGACAAAGAGGCCAGTGTGTGTGTAAGCTGGATGCAGTTCTGTCTGCACTGGTAGTGATACCTTGGCATGTGACCACATGTATCTCAATGTGTACGTATAATGCAACACACAACACATTAGAAAGTCTTCCTGAGTAAGATTGGTACTTTTCTTTTTCCATTTAGCCAGGTGATGCTTCTCTCAACAGTACCACGCTGTCCAAGGGAGCACAGAATGAAGAAGTGAGTTTTGTAGTTCCCAGAAGTGGTTCCCGGGTAAGTCATCATGTGTCAGCACAATTCCATGTCAAGACACAAGCCAAAGTGACTAGTGTAGGAAGCAGGGTTTTTGTCGTTGTCGTTTAAGACAGATTTTAAAATCCTTGAACTAAGATTGCAAAGAAACTATACCAGCTGAGAGGTCTATCAACTTCATAACAGCCAAAGAAGCAGCAAACTCAACCATTAAGAATGCACGGTGGCGCAAGTGGTTAAGGTCCTCGCCTTGCACGCCTGGGATCCCATATGGGCGCTGGTTCTATCCCGGCAGCCCCGCTTCCCTTCCAGCTCCCTGCCTGTGGCCCGGGAAAGCAGTCGAGGACGGCCCAAAGCTTTGGGACCCTGCACCTGCGTGGGAGACCCGGAAGAGGCTCCTGGCTTCGGATTGGCATAGTATCAGCCGTTGCGCTCACTTGGGGAGTGAATCATCGGACGGAAGATTTTCCTTCTCTGTCTGTCCTCTCTGTATATCTGCCTTTCCAATAAAAAATAATAAAAATAAATCTTTAAAAAAAAAAAAAAGAATGAGTGGTACAAGACCCTGAGATTTCCTGCTACTGTGGGCCAGAACTCCACGGACATTCTTCATGTGTATCAAGTGTGGAGGGGTTGGTTAACTTTGGTTCTTCGGGCTGAGTTCATGTGGAAGAATATCGGAGGTTTGATGATCTGCCTTAACCCTGCCATTGTAACTCCAAGTCCCCTTGACCCACAGGACAAGCTAAATCCCATGGCGCTAATGTTAAAGACCTCCCACTGCTGCTGTACTTCCAGCCTTAGGTATCAGAACACACACACTCAAACCCCTTCCACGTTCACTCAAATGACCTTTGGAATCAGAACTTGGGTTTTGTTGAAATTCTTGTCATTCCACTTGCCATTACTTCCACTGAGAGTACCCATTGTGGCCACTCCATATCTTTGGTAGCGGATGATAATCAAATACCTGCCAGAAGACAGGGTAGACCTGTTGGATGACATTGTGGTCTCCAGTGGCATCTAGACAGAAGGTGACAGCACACTAGAAACTGGTGGAGGTGGCATAATTCAGAAGTTCCACTGAGGCAGTCATTTCTTAGCCACTGTCCATGTTCAGAAATGGGATAAACTGATATACACTTGAGTGACACACTCTCAGGATACTCTTTTTGGTTGGGGAGTTAATGTTATGGGCCCTCTGTAAGTTAGCATGTTTAGATTTTTGATTATTGTGCTTTTTTTTTTTGAACAGAATAACAAAATAATTTGAATAAAATTTGTCCATGACTAGAAATCAAAATATGTCCCACAGTTTCTCTAGGTAATTCTAACTTATGGAGTTATTTAATTCATGTATAGTTTGTACATTCTTGGGAATTTGGAGACCTTGCTTATGTAAGTAACTAATATAGCTTGAGTCTCTATTGGTCTCCTTAACTGACTGTAATAGCTGTGGATGTTTGTGCAAGTCAGCAGTGAGGGGCCACGTGTGGCTCCACACACATGCCAAGCAGAATTTGACTCACGGTGGTTTCATGATTGATTTGTCAAAAGTAAGGCTAGTAGGGTGGGCCTTGTTTTCTAGATGTTCCATAGTGGATTCAGCATCAGGATTTTATTTCTTAGAAGACATATGCTGACTATGAGTTTTTAGTTCTTCATTCTTTGCTAACTTCTCTGCATCATTGGAAATCATTCAGCCATTCATCTAACAAATACCTACTGTTGATAAATGGCAGGTCTTATAAAAGTTCATGGAAAATGTGTGTGATGTGCAATATGAAAAAAAATCGTTTGATTCCTCAGTCTCTTCCATGTATCTGGATTTTTCAGTCATTCAAAAAGTAATAACAAGGGCTTTGGGCTCCTGCCAGAGTACCTACAAAAGTAAATGTATCTTGGTGGGATAAAGATGACATTTTACCCTTATCTCAGACATTTCCAGGTACCCCAACAGCATATCCTATTGAAATTTATATTGTAAAATAGTAAAAACTAGGAACCCTAACTTTATCTTTTTCAAAAGAATTTCCCTAAAGAATCTTTTCCAAAAGACTTCACTACCTTTTTAAAAATTTCAATATAATCTTCCCGATGTGGTTAAAGTATCACATTTAAGATAAATGAAATTCCCACATTGGAGATCTTCCTAATCTAAATGCTGGACTCAGAACCCTAACGAAGAAAAGAGAGAAGACAGAACGGGTCAACCAACCATCTCAGCTATGATGGACTATGTCAATCAGTGGATTTTTCAAAGACCTCATAGTGCTTGGAGTGGCAAGATTGGCAGCGATTCATAACTGTGGCAATATCAAAACCACTTGAGCAAGAACCTCAGAGCATGCCCTACATCCGGGACCTGGGGAGGGTGGGAAAATGGGTGGGCCTTCTCCCTTAATACCCCCCTTTAAACATGAAGGTAACAATATGGAAAACATACTAGTATTATCCACTTTCCTGTAGCCCTTGAACCTTCTTACTCTAACTATGTAAAGAATGTCAAAATAAATTTTATTAATAAAAAAATAAAAATAAATTTGAAAAAAAAAAAAAGAAAATCAGATTTCTAGAGAGAAGTAGAGACAGAAAAGTGCTTCCATTCACTGGTTCACTCCCCACGTGGCCACAATGGCTGGTGCTGAGCTGATCCAAAGCCAGGAGCCAGGAGCTTCTTCTGGGTCTCCCAGGCGGGTGCAGGGTCCCAAGGCTTTGGGCCATCCTTGACTGCTTTCCTGGGCCACAAGCAGGGAGCTGAATGGGAAGTGTGCCACCACAACATGAACCTGCACCCGTATACAAGGCTACTGTGCCAGGCCCAAAATCCTCACATTTACAAAAGTCTACCTGTATAGTTTTATTTTTGAAAGCTGTTAAGAGTTCACTTGCATCAGAATCTAATCAAATTCTCCTTTTTCTAATCTTAGAAGTTTTTTTTTTCTCTTTCAAAATAACTTAGGGGACAAAATTAAGAACATCCCCTTAAAATCTTTTTAGGAATTTTTATTAAAAATCTAACATAAATATTGATGTGATATAGAGAATTCATATCTTAAAACATTGAGTCTTTTTATTACCTATGCCATAGCATTTATTTATGTCTTCCTTCAATAAAATGCTATAACTTTATTTCTTTAAGTTTTGCGCATTTTCTGCTGAGTATTTTTGGGAACAAAGTAGTTTACATTAGTGTTAAGTAGTGTTGTTTTCTGTGGTATTTTTAGCTTATTTTTGTTTCTATAGCATTGTCTTACATAGTTTTCTTTTGTCTTACATAGTTTTCTTTGATAACTAAGACGTTTTTAATTTGATATTGTGTTTTTGTGGATATCATCTCCAGATACAGAAGTTTTATTTGCTCAGTCTTTAGTATAGCCATGTTCATTCTTTCCTTTAAGGTCTTAGTAGGCTATCATGACTTCAGCCTCTGTCTCACCTTTCCCACCTTCTGTGTTTTGAACTCCCCTCTGTTGACAGATTGATTTCCTGCATTTAGCTAATATGATGAGCCAGTTCTCTCTCATGTTCTCTTGTCGTAAAATATTCCAAGTATCTCTCTACTGAAACACCTACTTGCACTTTTGGCCTAAATACTTTTGTTTGCCTCTCTGCCTCTTAAAAGTCTCTTCCATCATGGTTCCTTGAGTGGTAGCTCATGTTTCACCACTTCTTTTTAAAATTATTATTATCGTTTAACAATGTCATTGGAATTCCATCTTTGATCTGGAAGTAGAGATGCATACTGCATTGTGTCCTCATGTCTGAATGTGGTAGTCTCCATTACATATTTTTTCACGTGTGCATTTAAGGATCTTTTCCTTATGTTCGACTGAAGAGAGTTTGATTATCATGTGTCGTGGTGAAGATCACTTTGGGTCAAACCTGTTGGGAGTTCTGTGCCCTTCCTGGGTGTTGTTTCCCAACTCTTTGTTCGTATTAGGGAAATTTTTCTTTATTATTTCATTAAATACATTTTTAAACCCAGCTTCTCTTTCTGTACCTTCTAGAACTCCCATAATTCTAATCTTATATTTGGTCTTTTAATAGTGTCTCTTAATGTTTGAATACTTTTTTGTTAAGATTTATTTATTTTTTATTACAAAGTCAGATATACAGAGAGGAGGAGAAGTAGAGAGGAAGATCTTCCGTCTGATGATTCACTCCCCAAGTGAGCACAATGGCCGGTGCTGTGCTGATCCAGAGCCAGGAGCCAGGAACTTCCTCCAGGTCTCACACACAGGTGCAGGGTCCCAAGGCTTTGGGCCATCCTCCACTGCTTTCCCAGGCCACAAGCAGAGAGCCTGATGGGAAACGGGGGTTGCCGGGATTAGAACCGGCACCCATATGGGATCCTGGCGCATTCAGGACGAGGACTTTAGCTGCTAGGCCATGGCGCTGGGCCTGTTTGAATATTTTTTTTAGCTTGATTCAGCTCTACTTCCAACTTTATTATTGTTTCCCCCTGGTGACAAGAAATATCTTCCAATTCTGAGGTTCTTTGTTCTGCCTCCTTCATTTTATTATTGAGACTTTCCACGGAATTTTTAGTTTGCTCTATTGTGTCCTTCATTTCCAATAATTCAGTTTGATTTTGTTTCAGCATTGCTATTTCCTGTGTGTGACATACCGTATGTAAAATTTTCTGGGCAGTGCTTTTTTCCTCTGCTGCTCTGCAATAAGACATCTTGGATTATGGATGTTAGTTCTTAACAGTGGCATGATTGTCTTTTAATAATATTCCAAATGCTGCTCTGCGATCATTAATCCAGTTCAAAAGCTGGAATACGGACTCGTACTTTTTCTTCAGGAAAGTTCCAGGGTTGTTTACATGGCCAGCTGGCTAGAGGCCAGTTAAACCAACTCAGTTTTGGGCACTTTTCCATGTCACATGGTAAGAAATTAACATTCACCAGTGTTGGTCAGCATCCTACATTAGCGGCCTCAAGCCCTGAGTGGAAGTCTCTAAATGTTCAGGAAAAATCTAAAAAAAATTGAAGAAAATACCTGTCCACATCTGTTTTATCTTTCTTAAGATTTTAGTGAGTGGATACTCTTTATCATGCTGTATGGTTTGTAGAAGGCACCAGAAAATCTGGTGGACAGTGTGTCACCAGACCCCAGACCTCAGTGTCTTCATTCTTGCACAAGCTCCATTATTTGGATATCAATGTTTTAGTAACTAGCTGACTATTCACTTGCGCTTCCCACGGTTCAATGATATCATCTTCTTTGAAATAAAACAGGGATCGAAAGAGAACACCGGGCTCGGCATTCAAGGCTCCCTTGTGTGATTTGTAGCTTGCCATAAAAGATCTTTCACGAAGCAGGTGTTCAGCTGTTGCTAAATAAACATGCAAATAAAAGAAACAGCATCAGGCTCTGGGGGATGAAGAACAGATTCTGTGTATGAATATCATATTCAAGATTCTTGATGGACTAGCAATATTTTTACCATCCCACACAGTCATAGATTATAACTCCCATATTAACTTTCATGGGATGTTCATATAAATTTTTGGTAGGTAGGATTTGTGTATAAATTTTTTATTAGTACCCGACTACACGTGAGAAATAAGGAGCTAGGCATCATCATGCAAAGATAAATACTTAACTTGTGATAATATTGCATTGGAATTCAGTGCTTTGGTAGGATCTTAAGGAACAAAGTACCAAACTAGTTAAGAGGGGAAGCGCAGGCAAGCCCTGTGGCACAGATGCTCACGTTGCCGCGCGGGATGCCCACATTGTGTATACAGGACCCGATTCAAGTATTGTCTGCGCTACTTCCACTGCACCTTCCTGCCAAAGCACCCGAGAGCTGGCAGGTGATGGCTCAGCCTACACTGCCATCCGTGTGTGAGTTTCAGATGAAATTTCTGGCTTCAAGCTGGCCCAGTTCCAGCTCTTGTGGGTATCTGGGGAGTGACCCAATAAATGAAAGCTTGCTCTCTCTCTCACTCTACCTTTCAAATAAATAAATTTAAAAAAGAGACAAACAAGAGATTACTTAGGAAACATAATGTGTTGCTTGTATTTCCTCTGTATTTTGCAGTGATGTTATTGATATGTTAACATTACATTACAATAATGCAATTAAGATAAGGTACATCACAACTAACAGATTGTAATTATCAAAGAATTTGACATTAAGCTTTATAATTTGTGCATTTTGCCAAAGTAATAAGCAGTCAGTATTTAAGAACTAAGAAGTTCCACAGTTGCTTTCTGAGAAACCTGTCTGAGTTGTGTCATCTCCACTGAACGCAGAAACAAAGGAAATATCAGGTGCAAGTTCTTTTTGACATCAAGAAATGTTTCCTGTGGAAAGCACTCTTTGTTCCACATACCATACATTAGATTAGAATGTGGGGCTTCAGGAACTTGTATTTAAGGTCAAATGTTTTGTGTTCTCTACCCCTTGCTTGGCAGTCTATCCTCGAGGCTATTCCTGACATACCGGTTCATTCCAACGGATCTCCAGGCCCAGGACAACCCGTCCAGCCCGCAGAGAGAGGTGAGTGACCCCCACCTGCTGCTGTAACGCCTGGTCTCTTGGCCTGTAAGCAGTCACAGTGCTGTTAGCAGGGAATGTTTCCAAGCATGACGGGCCTGGGTTTTCTTCCTGTTAGTTCTGTCTCTGCTGCACTCAGTCCTCCCACCCATTAGTATACCGCACTCCCCTTGTGGAGCCACATTGAAAGCCAGATCTTTTCTCTCTTCACTACCCTTACATCATGTCTAAACTATTGACTGGGCAGCATCTTTGAGTAGAGGCTCTTTCTGCAGCACTCTGGGTCTGCTCTTCATGTACAAGAAAGCCAGGAAGCCCACTGCACCCGTGATTGCTCAGATGTGTGCGACACCACTTCAGCTAGTGCTAGATAAAGCCACAAGGTTAGCTTTTATCTGGGCCTCTTCAGCTTGAGAAGTCAATTTGGACAGAATTTGAAATCCTCTTGTTACTGTCTAGGCCTCTGAAGAGCCCTGAAAACCATACTGCGAGTCCTCAAAGTTTTCCAAAAATTTATGCACGTTTCTTGTAAACAGCAGAGTCAGTACATTTAATATTAACTTCAAAAAAAAAAAAAAATCAGTGAATTTGGGGTGATGAAAATAATCTAAAACTGACCCTGAGAATAGTCATACTACTCTATGAATGCACTAAGAAATATTAACTAGTGTTCTTTAAATAAATGGGTGAATTGTATGACATGTAAATTATATTTCAGGAAAGCTGATGCAAGAAAACAAAATCAAAGAGAAGGCATTTGCGAGAAATAAGTGTGTATCATTCTGCTGTCATGCTGTAATTTGGTTCAAATTGTGCCACAAAAGTCATTGGAATGATCCTGTGGTCTGGAGCGTTTGCTTCTGTAACCTCTGCCTTCCAAACAACCTATCCGTAGAGCCTTAAGAAGTTAGACGGCTGTTCCCTGGTTGTCTTGCTGTTGAATGTGAGCTGTCTGTGCAAGTCAAAGCCCTCACTCTTCTTTGGCCATTTGCTGAAGCCTTGCTGTAGCCATTTATCATGTGCTCAGTTTACTAATCAGATTTTTTAGATCTAGCGACATGAATTTCTCCATCTCAGTTTTAAGGGATTCTGCCTTTTGTTTCTTTTACTCTGTGTGTTGTCTTCTAGTCAGTGTCTGTAGAAGAGGGTCAAAAAGAATTAACAAAAGAGCTAATCAAATATATCTTTGCTTGCATAGTAGCAGTTTTCCCAGGTGGTTAAAGCAGAGGACCAGCCAGAATGTCACTCCAAAGTGAGAGTTTAGCATTGCCCAGGTGACTCACAGCCTCGTTTGGTTTTGCTTAAGGAAGCTTTTGTCTTTAATTTTCAAAGTGGCTCACAGCCTTTAATTGCAACCCATTCAAGTTGTTCTTCATCTTTGTCATACAAGGTCAGATAACCAGTATCTAATTACAGAAATTCAGATTAATTTGCCTGAACAAAACTAAACAGTGACGTCTAAATTGAGCTTGAATAAATCCTAAGAGGCAGATATTCCGTAGATTGAGAAGACAAACAAGAGGCAGTCTGGTGGTGTTCTCTCCACCCTTTTTCCCTCTGCTTTAAGCTTCTGGCTTCCCAATAACCATGACAGTGGCTCTAGATGGGATTAATTGTTGGGGTCTCTCTAAGAATACATTAAAATACTGTATCTAGGGCTTTGCTTGAATAGTTCTCAGTAACTCTCATAAAACATAAACATATAAAAATTGAAGTATAAGATTAAGTTTAAAGTTTATTTTGATAATAATGATGGAAATTTGCTCAACTCCTCCTGTGGGTGAATCTGATATATACACGTTAAGACGATTGTGGATTAAGTTGTCAATAGTTCGTGTGTGTTTAGCCCTGATAGTATTGTTTGATAATATAATGTGTTGCTTTTTAGATGACGATTATCTGGAAAAGAACATTCCAACAGAGGCTGAAGAACTGTCCTTCGAAATATCTTATTCAGAAATGGTTACAGAGGCTCCAAAAACGAATAATTTGAAGAAGTTGGAGCTTAAGAAAGAAGACTGTGTTTTAACTGTAAGCAAAAGCCTTTGTGATTATTCCAGTCACTTCCAGTGGCTTTTGCAGTGCACAAGAGCTCTGGATAGATCAGGCATCCGTGTTGGCACGGCCACTTATGGTGGCCTGTGCTGTATAGTGCACAGCCTGCCTGGCTGTGCCTGGCAGCCTAGAGTTCAGGAAGGCTTACGAGGATATAGGCTTGAATACCAGTTTACAGATAGAATAGGGTTTCTGTCTGGCTTGTATGAAATGCAAGAAATCACATATATCCAGTCTTCACTAATAAGTCGGTGCAGGTCCTAACTTTGTACTTGTGCCCTGTGAGCACATGGCAGAAAGTCAGTCACAGCCCTAACAGGTGAGCCACCTTGAATGCGTGACAACCAATTTAAGAATTTACGTGATCACAGACGAGGCAAATAGGATTCTTGTTATCCTGAGAGCCTTGTCTTACATTTATAGTGTGTGTGTGTACGGACGCACCTTTCTGTCTGTCCCTAGGAAATAATGTGTTGAAAGCCTCATATAGAGTTGTTACATTGATCTAGTTGCTAGTTGGTAAAGGCATGGGTTTCTGCTGAGTAGTCCCAAATACTCTGCTGATCAGAGCCGGAGGCATATGCGCAGGACTCGGAAATTTCAGAAATAAAGGAATAAGTTATCTAGGAACAGATTTGTCGCATCAGGCAGCCTGGACATTCCCAGATAACCACCCTGCGGTGGAAGAACAGGAGATTCGTCCCCTGTGGTTCTGACTGTGTATTAGTTCTAGCAATAATATGAATTCTAGGGACTGCTCCCATTGCAGTTGCAGAAACTGAGACTCAGAGAGGCTGATCAACACATTCTAAATCCTAAGTTGACTCTAAAATTCAGGGTGGGCATTGTGGCATAGTGGGTTATGCCACTGCTTACAGATGAACACACACACCTAATTCAAAGTGCCTAAGATTGAGTTATGCGTTCACTTTTAATCCATGTTCCTGCTAATGTACACCCTGAGAGACTGTCCATGTTGGTCCAAGTACTTAGGTTATGGACACCCATATGGGAGTCCCGCCTGCCCAGTTGTGGTTGTTGCACACATTTAGGGAATCAACCAGTGAAAGAAAGATCTGTGTGTGTGTGTGTGTGACAGAGCGAGCAAGAGAAAGAATGTCCTCTCTTTGTTACTCTGCATTCTAACTTGAAAAAGAAACTCCCCCAAATGATTGCTAAGTTGCCATGTTGGAGTGGAGAGAGTGTCCCAGGGCAAAGTTAGAAGCCACTGGGTCACTAGTATCTTTATAAGGGTTCATGCAGTCCACGGTGCTAGCCCCCAGGTTTCCTCAACAAACCTATCTCCGCCTGAGGAGACAGCCTGCTGGTCAACCTCCCAGGAAGCCTTCAGCCTGGGCTTTGGCACAGAGTAATTGCTCAATAAGTGCTCAACAAGAGGATTCTATTTGCATTGCTGTTACATGTTATTGTTATTTTGGGCCTTAGCCTCAGAAAGTAAAGTAACCAAATATTTAATACCATAAGGTATACTCCAAATAACAACCTGCCCTATGTTCTTTCGCTTTTGAACACTTGGGATTTCAAGAAACAACTGTTAGATGGATTGTTGGCTGGATGGTTGATAGGATAGAGGGATGGATGGATGCATGCATGCATGCGTGGCTTAAAAATCCCAGGGAAGGGACCCGGCACAGTGGCCTAGCCTCGCCTTAAATGCACCAGGATCCCATATGGGCACCGGTTCTGATCCCAGCAGCTCCACTTCCCATCCAGCTTGCTGCTTGTGGCCTGGGAAAGCAGTCGAGGACAGCCCAAAGCTTTGGGACCCTGCACCCATGTGGGAGACCCGGAAGAACTTCTTGGATCCTGGTTTCAGATCAGCATAGCATTGGCCATTGCGCTCACTTGGGGAGTGAATCATCAGATCTTCCTCTCTGTCTCTCCTCCTCTCTGTGTATCTGACTTTCTAACAAATAAATAAATCTTTAAAAAAAAAAAAATCCCAGGCAAGTTCCAATTTAGGAAACTTTGGTGGGTATTTTGTACTGAACACTTTCAGATTTAAATGACTATGGTGTTTTTGTTTTTTTTTCTACTAGTATTTAATCTCAATACCTAGTTTTCTGTAAAAAAGACTTGCTGGGACATACGTTTAGCCTAGTGGTTAGGACACCCTTCTCTCCTGTTGGAGGCCCTGGCTTTGATACAGCCTTGGCTCCTGACTCCAGCCTCTTGCTAATATAAACCTTGGCAGCAGCAGCGATGGCTCAAGTGGGTTGTCATTCTGCCATCCATGTGGGAGATCTCGATTGGGATCTGGCTTTGGCACAAGTCCAGTCCAGGCCACTGTGAGCTTTACAGGAGTGAATCTGCAAACAGGAGCATTTTCTCTCTGTTTGCCTCTGTTTCTCAAAAAAAGGTGTCATCTTGCTGCATAAATGTTTGGCACGATTTGGATGACTGAAGGATTTGTTGTTGCTGTATTAGTGTATTTTGTTCCGCAGTACAGAAATGGAGACTATAACATTGGAAAGTAAAACACTGCCTTCAAAATGTAGTAGGATCATTTATACTTTCTGCTCCTTTTCTTCTTCTTTTTAACAGTTTGGGATATCTAGGTTTATTTCTAGGAGTAGAAAAACTGCTTCAGCAGTCATGTTTAATCAGTTTCAGTTAGATTTCTACTAGTCTTTTTTTTTTTTTAAGGAAATATTTCTTTCTATTGGAAAGTCAGATTTACAGGGAGAAGGAGAGACAGAAAGATCTTCCATCCACTGGTTCATTTCCCCAGGTGGCTGCATTGGCTAGAGTTAAGCCAAAGCCAAGAGCCAGGAACCTCCTCTGCATTTCCCCTGTGGATCCAGGGTCTCCAAGGATTTGGACCACTCTGTGCTGCTTTCCCAAGCCATAAACAAGGAGCTGGATCATAAGTGAAGCAGCCAGAACATGAAATGGTGCCCAGCACTTGAAAGGGAGAATAAGCCCAATTGAGCCATTGTGCTGGGCCCTCTACTGATATTTGAAAGCATGCAGTAAAGAATAATTAAAGTCTGGTTTAAGGACTTATTTGGGGGCAAAAGGAGAAAAGATGCGTGTTATACCATCCCAGGTTGTACCTCAGCGTGTTGCTTTGCTTATGTGTGTGTCACATGTAATCCGCATTAACAGCTCATTGTTTGTTGTGCCTAACAAGTACTTTTTTTAGGTAATGTTGGATGTTCATTGACAATATGCGATATTCCCCATAAGAAGGCAATTTCCTTAGTTGTGGTATCAATATTATCGTCTCACCAATATAATCAGACTACTGTTTTCTTTCCAGTTTATCATAATGACATATGCAAATGGTGCTCCTATTTTTGTTATGTATGTATGCATGCATGTTTCAGGAAAGCAGAGTTACACAGAGAGAGAGAAGTCTTCCATCTACTGGTTTATTCCCCAAATGGCTGCAACATTTGGGACTGGCCCAGGTTGAAGCCAGGAGCCAAGGTCTTCATATCCCTCTGGCACGTGGTATTTGTGTGATGTAACTTGCTCCTTAGATTTGTTTTGTCTTGGCAGGTAATGAGCTTTGTTGTATAGATTTAGCCTGTTTAGCTAGCATTGGAAAAATGTAATCATTTGCCTTTGCCACAAAATATCTTACATTGTGTATGTTAGAAATTCACCGTGCAGAAAACCAGGCTTGGTTTGACGGAAGCAGGAGACTTGTCTGCTGAAGACATGAAGAAAATCCGCCATCTCTCTCTAATTGAATTGACGGCCTTTTTTGACGCCTTTGGAATTCAACTGAAGAGAAACAAAACAGAGAAAGTAAAAGGACGAGGTAACTAAGAAGGCCCATTTCTTCTGCTTTGCACTCTGACACTTGGAATAAGAGAGTGTTTTCTGATTTTGTTTTTCTGTTTTTTTCCTTTGACTCCTGTATGTTGAAGACAATGGAATTTTTGGAGTTTCACTTCCAGTCCTCCTGGACAATGATCGAAAGAAAGACCCTGGAGTGAAAGTTCCACTCGTATTACAAAAAGTAAGCAGAATTAATTAATAGAGACTAATGTTAATGATTTGGTCCCTTATAAATCCAATAATGAGTGTTCTTTAGGACGGAAGGATTGCTGATAAGACTTAACATCTTGATGCTTTTCAACTTGACCCCATGCATCCTCACACTTGGCCAGAAATGTGCTGGACCACTTTGCTTTGCTGCATCCTCCTCCCTTCTGAAGTCCATTGAGTTGTTTGAGCATAAACCATCAAGGGGCTGACACCAATGCTACGATTCGTGACTTCTCTTGTTTGATTTTTTTTCCTAAATCTTTTTTTAGATATCATTTGTGTTTTTTTTTTAAAGAGTGTGGAAAACGGAATGCAGGTACATTTTGGTACAAAAAATTTTGATGTCCAGACATACATTTTTCATAAATGTTATAAGTATTTTGAAGGCTCCTCGTATTTGATTGCTTAGTCTGGGTAGAGTTGACCATTATTAATTTAACAATTTATAGATGATACAGTTACTTGACTTATTTCAGAGATTGAACTTTTCAATACATGTTCATAAAATCACTTTATGAATTTCCTAAGGTTAGCAAAGACTAAAAATCAGCTTATTTTTTGGTTTTTCAGGTATGACTCGGGACAGAGGGTACATTTGGTCAAAATAAGAATCTATCAGGGGAGAATTTCGAAAGTCATGTCTGAAATATCAAATATGGGTATCTAACATTAAAATAGCCAGTTTACATTGAAGTAATTTTTTATAGTCAACAATTTTACCTAAGTAGGCATCTATTCAACAGTGACCTCCAGTGGTGTAATTAAAATTCCGAGAACTTAACACAAATCCTGTTGAATTTTTAAAGAATCTTTAAATTGGAATATAACTGATGAAACACATGAAGGATCTTCAAATAACACATAGAAAATACATCTTATGAAACAGTTACACATAGATTTCAAAATAAATTTTCACAAAAATCATCTTTCATTTTTTCCATAACTTTTATATATTCTTTTACTCCCACTGATACGTCCACATACTTTTTCAGTTCTCCTGTGTTTTAACACCAGTGTGTCACACTGAGAAACTTCTTAAGTTAATTGACTGATGATGGGAGCACAAACACGACAACCATGTAGCCATAGGAAGCCAGCAATACACCTGCACTCAGGGGTTGTCTGTGAGCTGCCTCTCTGGGCAGGGTCGACCAGTGTCATTTAGGTAGTGTGACATCTTGTCAGCACACAGCAGCCCAAGGAGGTTGGTGTCATTATCTTCCTTTTTCAATGAGGAAACAGGCTCAGCAAGGTGAGCTAACTTGGCCAAGAACACTGGGCCAACGTGAGAGAGTGAGGAAAGGAACGTGACATATAGCCGAGTCCTAAGTCCATGCTGACCTGAATATTTCCTTTTCTTTGAATTAAAACCAGAATTCTGCTCTTTGTCTTCTATGTAGAAGACAGGATTTGAAGAAGAGCCATAGAAATCAAAGACAGAAGAGTCAACATGTGAGTTTATAATTGTCGCATAGGTGGAAAAACCCAGCACAAAATTTAGCAAATGGAAACAAACAAAGGGTTATCTGTAAATGCTAGCCCGGATTGAGATCGTACTGACAGCGGAGTAGGTGTTAGCTGATCGTCATTACCCACATCATGCTCTCTGAATCCTCCTCGACTCCCATGGATGAGCCTTTTCTTAGAGACATGCTTCTTCTTCCTAATAGTGTATCTCTGCTCCGTACAAGAACCCCTTGAATTCCAAGCAACATCATTGTTTGAAAAGAAAATACAAGACACTGTATCCACCCTTCTCATTGAGAGCCTGAGCAAGGAACTCGGTCTCCTTGGCAGTAGAATGGGGATAGTAATAGTAATCCTTTCTTAGGATTGTTGTTAGGATTAAGTGAATTAATACATGCAAGATACTTAGAGTAGGACGTGACACACAGTAAATGCCTATGTTTGTAATGACTATTATTGTTATTAATACTCATCATCTCCACCATCACCACAATGAGGACTCAGGGAAATAATCACCCTGCTTATGATTTCTAACTCCTTGGCCTGACTTCTAGAATTTCTGTAGTTTCCTAGCCTAGCGGCTGAACCTAGTGATGGGAGATAGAATCTCTTCTTACCAGTCTGCACAAAAAGCAATAGTAATCAGATCTTAAGATGTTTAGTGACAGCATTACATTAGTAACATCCTCAAGCTTGAAAGTCATAGGGTGATCCCGAGAGAGCTCCGCCTCATACAGTGGTCCTGAGGAAGCTGCAGAGAGCTCCGCCTCAAAGGATGATCCCGAGAAGGATCTGAATCTCCATTTGGTCCTTTGGGAGGATCATGTTGACCTTGTTGGCGATTGTGAATATTCACCAAGGTGCGCAAGCACCAGGCACATGTACATGCTGAGTAATCTGTAGATGGCCATCATCATCATTGTTTCAAACATTTGTCACCAGATACAGGTGCTTGTTTTTGTAATCATGTCATTGCTTTGCAGTTTTTTGAGAAGGTTGAAGAATCGGGTCTGGAATCAGAAGGCATTTTTCGGCTTTCAGGATGCACTGCCAAAGTCAAGGTACTGGACATTTTTTTTTTCCTTTTCCTACTTACAGAAATAAGCTAGATAGCCCCAGTGTACACAAGTTTCACATGTCAAGTTCCTTATCTTTGTTGTTTGATTCTATCAGTTGGTGCCAGCTGGTCTCCCTCGGAAGCTAGGATGTGTTCCAAATCCAGAGTGGTGTGTCATTTTAAATGGAATCAGCAAGAATAGTGAAACAGCACATCTTTTCAGCATCAGCAACTGCTCTTTGCCTTTGGTTTGGAAAAGTTGAAATGTCCCACAACCATTTGGGGATCTAAACACTTTAGTGTTTTGTGTTGTTGTCAGTCACAGGATTCACAAAGCCAATATTACGTAGCCCTTATTTCCATTATATGTTGCTTTAAACTTGCAAGCATTCTTCAGCTTTCCTCTTAGTGAAAGGTCTTTGTAAGTATTGTGGCAATGACCATAACCACTAGAATACTCACTCAGCAGTTCTACAACCCAATTCCATGTATGGTAATGTTAGTATTCCCATATAAAAGTCATTGTGCAGTGTAATGCCTTTACGTTGCTCTCTTAGTTCCATAAGAGAGTCTACAGTAAAATTAAGGGGAAGAATATTAGAGAATCCAAGAGATTCTCATAAACGTTCAGAAAAATATCCCACACGTGAGCACACACAATGAACAGGTCGTTCCTGTCCTTGAGTCACAAGTCCACCTTCAGGGTGTTGAAATCTGTGCAGTTTTAAATGAGAAGACCTGAGAAGCCTCATGCTGAGGGAAAAATGAATTTAGCTGTGTTTAGAACTATTAAAAGGAAATGCATAGAGGTGGAAATGCAGCTCTTTATCAATTCATTTTGGTACATATTTTGAGATGTTCTATTTGTATCAGAAGTCACAAGTTTTTTATGTAGAGTGTGATGAGATTTTTTCCTAAGTGGCAAGTGAGAATAATCAGGCTGTTTGTATTGGATCCTCCAGAAACTAGATGCTGAGATGGACAGAGAACAGGGTTATTGGGGACTGGCTCTTGTGACAAATCAAAAGGGCATCCATCAGACTGGTCAGGGTAAGGTCCAGACCATGATGCAGACATCCTGTGCTGGGCAGAATGGGTGCAGGTCCTCACGTCCTCAGCTCTGGGTTTCCACAGAGAAAGGGGCATAAGCACACCCAGGGGCAGTGACAGCTCTGGGCTTTCTGTTGAGAAATGACAATCTGTGTTTTGAAAGGGACATATGAGAAGGGCCCCAGACTGTACTAGTGGCATCCAGGATGGGGTGTGTGAGAAGAGATCTGACTTCCTGAGAATACAATTCGCTCAGATTGGCATGTGTTCAATTTATACTGGCTCCATTGGGTTGATGCCTTCTCAATTGAACCTGCATTTTTTCTGAGATGCTTGGTTTTTAATGTGTACTTCTGAACAAATCTTCCTAAATTTGAAGATGAACATTTTTTGTTGTTGTTGATTATATTTAGAGCATGATAGAACCAAAATGAGGCAAAGAAATGAATTTCCTAGACAATCGGACTCCATTCCTCTAGATCTGCTTGCATAGTTGGAAAACTGCATTCATACATTGATTCGTGTGTGTGTGTGTGTGTGTAAAATAATGGGTAGAATTTAAATTTTCTTTCTCCAAATACACATAAAAGAGAAAAGATGATAGGACATTTCTTATGTGCACCAAGTTTAACATCCTAGCAGAAGTTATTTTTCTTTAGCAAGTGCTTGACTGGGGGGAAAAAGCCTTCATCAAAGGCTAAGCATTCCTTCAAAGTGTTCTTTGGTCACATACATTCCTGGACCACATTTAGGTCAGAGCACTGCTCCGCACTAATGGGTTTTATGTAGTGTCAGCCTATTTATTCCCTCCCCTGTTATTCCACAGAATATAATCCAGATGTTTGCATGTTTGGAACTTTACAAAAGCCAGTGTGAAAGAAATCTGAGTCCATGAACTGAAAGAAAGACTTCAGACATTGCCACTTGATGTTTTCAAAGTTTCCTTATTTCTCTCCTTGATTCAAACTTCTAACTACCTTTAAAAAAAAAAAGAAGTAGACATAATTTTATCCACTGGACTACTTTCCATAAGACTGTGCTTGAGGAAAGGCATTTAAAAAATCAATCCAATGTCCGATGATCGTGAGGGGGTTTCAGATAGATGAATGAGCCATTATTGGAACAATTCGGACTGGCTTTGTGCCTTAGACACTTGGTAAAACCAACAGGGAGACAGCTCCAAAGGGAAGCAGCACGATTATAACCAAATAGGGACACGCTGTGAAGCCAGTTCCTAGAGTTAAGGCCCCACATCATTTGGAACCAATTTAACGTTTTAGTGTTTCTAATGGTTTTCTTAAAAAAAAAAAAAAGGCAGAAATGTGAGGCAAACACTGGGGAATATATTTCATGGAAAAAGGCAGATTATTTAACGTAGAAAAGGTCTTCTTTTTTGACTCTTCAGAGATTCTGAACTTCTCTCAGTGTTTTCTAATGACATTACCTTGTGGGTTGGTTTCCTGTCCTGAACAGGTTGTTAAAGCCCAGGCTGATCATTTACATTTGTATAAAAGTCCCTTAGACCTGGGGCCCTGCGAGGTGGGTGCTGGGTATGTGAGCCCCAAGGGTAGGGGATACTGCGGGGCTGGGGTCTCCTGGCCCAGGTCCTGGGGCCCACCTGCAAGATGGGTACTGGGTTCATGAACCCCAGTGGTGGGGGATCCTGCGGGGATTGGGTCTCCTGGCCTGGGTTGTGGGGCCCACCTGCAAGGTGGGGTGTTGGGTTTGTAAACCTCAGGGGTAGGGGATCCAATGGGGCTCGAGTCTCCTGACCCAGGTCCTGGGGCCCACCTGTCAGGTGGATGCTGGGTTTGTGAGCCTCAGGAGTGGAGCATCTGGGGGGCTCATGTCACCTGGCCCTGGTCCTCAGTCCTGCCCATGAATAAGAAGGTATAGCTCTGGATGCAGACCCTGATGCACATGGAGAATATGGCAGCCCATGTGGTACCATCGCAGGGGAAGAAGAACAGAGCAAATTGGACAACAACCCCTGCAGACAATGCTGCAAAAATCTGGGTAAATGGAGACTTGAGGTGGTCTACGTTAGCCAGTGGGTATTGGGAGGACTGCATCACCTTTGGATCGGCAAAATCGACAGCATTGCAGATCTATCCAAACCACTTCATCAGAACCCTCAGAACATGCACTATAGTGGGACCCTGGGTTGATATTGGGTGGCAGTTCCCCACCCCTGGGTGCTGAGATATTTGGGAGGCTAGATGTGGCTTCTTCCTTTATCTTCCCCCTTCCTTCATAGATAAGAAGAAATGGAGAATTAGGAAGCAATTACTTCACTCACTTTCCCCTGATTCTTGATCCTTCCCACCTTGATCAACCCTGTAATTACCATCTACTAAATAAAAAATTAAATTTAAAAAAAGTTCTAAAAAAAAAAAGGTACCTTAGAAGTGGAAGCTGGCTGCATTTTGCTGAAAAGGCATTTGAGGTCAGGACTTCTGCCCCTGGCCTGGAATTCTCATTCACAGGGCACCTCTTCTCCCTCTCTGCTATCTGCCTGCAGCAGGACGACTTCATACCTGGCTTGGGGGATTTCACGTTTTAGGAATAACACTGAAACATCACACCTTCTGATCCCCTCCCCAGTCGACCCCTGTGGCTACTAAAAGACAACATCCTCTCTTGCGTTGTGTTGTATCGATCATCCAGCCAAGAAGACATGGTGTGATTATCTGAAGACTTGCATTCACATCTCTACAAGACTTCGTTTGGATGCCACTGTAGCTTGGAATAGGCTTGAGGGCGTAGAATGAACAGCTGGCGTTATCTAGCGCTGCCTGTGTGCCACTTTAAGAACTTAACTAATACCCAACTTAATCTTAGTGTCAACTTCTCATTTTAATATTTTAAGTGTTTTTTAAATTGGGAGACGGAGACACCAACATCCAGAGAGAGCAAGCGTTCCTTTCTGCTGGTTCACTCCTCATGTAATCGTGATGGCTGGAGCTTGGATCCAGAAATCCACACAGGGCTCTTTCATGGCTGGCAGGGACGCAGTTCCTTTCCTCTCAGGGTCTGCAGGAACATGAAGGTAGAGTCAAATCGGAACACAAACACAGGACCCAGGCATTGAGAGTGGCCTCTTAAACACTAGACCAAAATGCCCAGTCCTATCCTTGTTACACAGTGAAATGCTGCGGGCACAAGCTCCTCAACTGGTCAGTTGTGGAGTTGGCATAAAAGGCTAAAGGATGTGATTAGGGAATCTTCCCATGATGTCATGGTGCCATGTTGCTACTATGCATACTGGGACCCTTCTCACAGGTCAGAGGGTGGTCACATTCATGGCTCAGTGGATTCCTACTGAAGGTGTATACAGGAAAAGAGTTTCAAGTTATGCCCTCATTGGTGCTTCCTGCCCTCTTCAGAATGGTTTCCCCTCTGCTTATGGCAGTGGTGCCCACTGGTCAATGAGGAGCACTTGCTCTCCCTGTTAATAGCACCTGCATCTCCCGTCTCAGCTGGAGAGTCATCTTGAACAATATGCTCACTAGGAGCCTGCTAGTCAGCCTATCACTTAGGCTCCAGCATTTACCTTCCTAAGCATTTCTTACCTATTCCTTCCTCTTTCCATCCTACAGGGCATTCCTTGATTATGCACTGCTGCAGGTGGTGTCAGTCTTGTAACCGGGTTCTGTGCCTCTTGCCTACTCCCAAGTCAGTGCTTCCCCAAAGTTTTCCATGGGGCTTTCAGGAAACATAAATCTGCCTTTCCTGTTCCCTTGCTTAGAGATGTTCCAGATTGCTTCATTGCCTGCAGAATGCAATCCAAAACTTTTAGGACTGGCTCTCGTCTACTCCCTGGTCTTATTTCTTACTCAAAATGGTCCAACAGCATTGAACTATCTGGTTCTGCAGATACCCAGGGTGTCTATGCACTATGGCCACTGCTTCAGTAGTTTCTCCTCTCCAGGACCGTCTTCTGTGTCCTTTTTGCCTGGCAAACTCTTCATCTCTCCTAAGGCTAGACCCTGGCTCCTTTTGATGCCTTTCCCCTGATTGCACAGTGCTAATGCATGATCAACCTAACAGCGTGATCTTCCTTTGCACTCTGACTTACCATTAGCAGTTCATGAGATAGTGTCCTGCAACTAGACTCCAGACCACCTAACGTCTGGTGTTTTGTAGCTTTTATTCCAGAAGGAACTTCATATCCTTCCATAAGGCTATTAAGCGTATTTGTCAGCAAAGGATACCTTGACTAGCTATTGTATCCCTGCCAGGGATTGGTTTTGCATGCTCTGGGAGTTGACAGCTTTTTTGTCTGGCTGGTTCGTAACTGAACTTGGTAATAGAATGTCAGATGTGCAGATTGACTTTGGATCTGCATATTCAAGACTGGAAGAATTAGGTTTCTCTGGAGCATAAAGCAGAGGCCACCAAGAAACACTGGGTTTTCAGAGTCACCTTTCTGTGTGTGCTGTTTGGAGCAGCTTGTGTCAGGAGTCTGTCAGGAGACTGGTATTACAGGTTGAGTATTCCTGATCTAAAAGTATCTCGTTATATTCAGATTTTGAAAATTTGTGTGTATGAGATAACTTGAGGATGGGACCCAAGTGTGTTTCTGATATACCTTCTAACTACAGAAGCTTTCATACAAATCAGTGCACCTCATGCTGGTGTGGTCACTTAGCAAGCTAATCTTCTACCTGCAACTCTGGCATCCCATGTGGACACTGATTCATGGTCTGGCTGCTCCATTTCCCATCTAGCTCCCTGCTTATGACATGGAAAACAGTAGAGGGTGGCTTAAGTCCAAAGGCTCCTGCACTCACGTGGGAGGCAGGCCTGGAAAAAAGCTCCTGGCTCCTGGCTCAGCTCTGCCATTGTGGACATTTGGGGAGTGAACCAGCAGGCAGAAGACCCCCTCCCCCTCCGCCGTCTGTCCTTTTATCTACATAAAATTTCCCTTTCAAATAAATTTAAAGATAATTAGTGCACCTGTGTGTTCACTGCTACCTATCATATGAGGTCAGATGTGGAATGTTCTACTTGTGGTGTCACATTATTAGTCAGAAAGTTTGGAATTTTGGTGAATTTTGGATTTTTAGACTAAGAACGTCCAGCTTGCATGAGTTAACTTTGAATTCAGGGCCCCTTGTACAGGGAGTTTGACTTTGAGAAATAAACATAGAGAATGGAGAGGCGTTGATAGTCAAATGTGGGTTAATCTAAAATCTGTAAGCCAAGTGGAACTTGAAGGAGGCTTGATGAATTTTTTTAAAGTATGTCAGTAGTGTTCCAAGTCTGTGGAACAGTTGGACAAGATGCAAACATTTGGAGGCCACGTGTGTTTCTTGGCATCCAACTTTGCTGTCGCTGTGCCATGAACCTGTCATTGTCTGCATGTTGCAGTGAGGCTAGAGTTACTGTGTTGGGCTGTTTTTCATTGTGCATGTGAACTAGCTGAGAGATACACATTCTTAATCTATTTTATAAATAGAAGAGAGGATGGCAGAAGGGAGGATGAAAAAGAGAGAGGCTTTGCCAAAATTGAGCCTGTGCGTTTATCATGCGGCAGTAGTGATGTTCTGCCAAAACCACAAGTAAGTGATGCTCAGATCTAAGGAGACAGCTTTTATATTTGTGTCAAATTAGCAAATTATTTCAAGTCTAACATTTTAAAAGGAGATTTTAGAAAACCACCTTGATATTCGTTGATGCCTATTTTGATTATCCTAGCTGCATCGAGAAAGTTACGCTTAGTAAATATTGCCTTATTAATCTGTTCACAGAAATAGATTTTGCAATGATAATTTTCAAAGGGAAAAAAAAAAGCATGCCAGCTGGCAAAAACTTACTGAACATTGCCTGTTTTCTTTCCTTTGCAGCAATACCGTGAAGAATTGGATGCCAAGTTTAGTGCCGATAAATTTAAATGGGACAAAATGTGTCATCGGGAAGCTGCTGTGATGTTAAAGGCATTTTTCAGGGAACTTCCCACCTCTCTCTTCCCTGTGGAGTACATACCAGCCTTCATCGCTCTCATGGAAAGTAGGTGGACAAAGTTAAATGTGATAACTAAGATACCCATCAATAAAGCCACAGAGCAGAAGAAAGTTGCATAATCAAGTGTGATCATAAATGTATAGTTCTGCTGCTTCCTGTAAATTGTTGGCTGAAATATTAACTTTCCTGATGACCGGTCACCTATTTTCATACTTATTATCTAATTAAGCCTGGTAGATATGATGTAGAGAGTCGCATAAACGTTACAACGTAAGAGGGTTCAAAGAATGACCAGGTTCTTGAAATTCAGCATCCTATGCAGCTGTGTGTTAGTCACACAGTCTGACTTTCTAACATTGTGTGGCTGCACCTATAAATTACACATCGTAATTACTTGTCAGAGCTGCAGTGGGTATTGAATGAAGTCACCTAGAATCGTGCCTGGTGTGTAATAGTTGGTCAAAAATAGGCAACCTTTCTTCTTCAACGTGAAGTCTGGGCCTCATGATACAACTGACAATAAATACTACACACAAGATATTTTGTTTCTGAAAATTAAAATATTGCATTGTGGTGTTTGGGGAATTGCAAAATCACATAGACTGGATCTTAAGCAAGATATTCGAGTGAAAGCGTAGAAACTGGATAGTATGTGTTGTATTTGGCAGGTAGGGAGTAATTAGGTTTGGTTTGAGCATCAGGGTTGAATATTGTCAAGGATGTGACAAGGAAAGAGAAAAAATAGAATAGAATAAGAGAGTGTGGGCTTTGACTGCTAGCCTGAGAAATTCAAACCTCAGTATGTACAAGCATGTTAAATAATGGACAGAAAAGTGCAACGGCCACACTGAGGGGACACAGCCTGTCTGAAGTCGGTTGCCATGGTCCAGCTGTAGGTATTGGTTGCCTGGCAAAACAGAGAGCCAAATACAGGCCTCAGTAATAAAACTCTTCAATGCCAAAATGTTGACTACACATTCAAATTTTACAGTGCTGTGGGAGATGAACAAGTGTAGCCAGTTTGCTGTGCAGGTTGACCAGAAGCATACGGTCTCTAAAGCCAAGCAGAAAGAAAACAGCAGTCATAAGCTCTATGATAAAAAAATGTTGGGTATAGTTGCCTTGAACACTGCCCTGTGGTTATCTGGCTGTAAAATTGGGAAGAGATTTAGAGGGGCTTATGACCACTCCATACAGCAAGAACCGCAACCTAACCCCAAGCCAAAAGTTGGGCAAATTCTAGTTTCTAATGACCAGTCTTCTCCCGACTGCCCACATCTGCTCACTGTCCTATCCCTGAGACAATTGGGTTTTGTACTCTGTCTACAGATTACAGTTATCTGAAGGACATTTAAGCTGGTAGATGCTTCCTCAACTGTAACAGAAGCAGAATTACCTCTATTTTTAAGTAAAACAAAGCAGAATCGCAGGATTTTTTTATGACATTTGTTGTCCTGAGAAACAGGCTGCAGAGTAATTCATTCTCCCTTGCTGCTCAGAGACTTGTATAGAAGGGCATGCGAATAGGTGAGCTTTGCTAACCCTCTGTTCCTTGTCTGACTGCAACCAGGGCACTCCACAGAAGGCAGAGAACCTGAAAACTCTCCCAAAAGCATTCACAAAAGAGTCCACATCTTTACATGACTTTGAAAGCAAAAACTACTGTATTATGGGTGAATGATTTTGATTCCAGCCAACCCTGCAGGAAGCCAGAGTTCTGGCCTCCGATCAGCAGGATCTCGTGACTCTTTTTTTTCCCATCCAAGGAGAGCTCTAGCTGTCACAAGATTTTCTGGAGAATTCTGAACATGTTCATGGGTGGGTTTAAGATGCCCTTCTTGAGACCCGAGGCATGAGCACAGTAGAGACTCTTCTGCCCTAGTGAAATTATGTTCTCCTTTTCAGCTTGGCTTAAAGATTGTCCATCAGATCCCAGGAGTAACAGTTCATCAGTCAAGCCTTAGAAACTTATGTGAAAAGCTCAGTAACACTATGGAAAAAAAAAAAAGTGACCTCCAGTACAGAGAATATTATTGACTAGGTTGAATCAAATGAATTAACCATTAGCCAAATGTAGGATCGGATGTCCTATGTAAAATGAAAATGGATGATTTGACACATTGAACTTTTGAGTGCTTTTCATTTTATTTGAAAGATGAGAAGTAAAAGAAAAAGGGAGAGGGCTCCAGCCACTGGTTTATCCCCCTGATACCCACAACAGCTCCTGACCAAATCCAGGAACCTGGAATTCAGTCCTTATTTCCCTTGTGGATGACCTATCATCTGCTGCCTCCCATGATGCGCATTAGCGGGAAGCCGGATCAGAAGAGGAGCAGCCAGGAACTGAACTAGGCTCTCCTTTATGGGCCGACTTTTGAGCATAAAAGATAACTCATAATTTCCCTCAAAATGGTAGAAGGAGAGGTCCTAAACCTACATCTGCCTGTTTTTTCTTCCCTGCCCCCTGATGTGTTTTTGGATTCCATTAGAGGACCAAGAGACAACCCTCACCTTACAGTTTATGCATTACCTGCCTCTAAATAATTTGTACTAAGACGTGTTCTTAATAACTTCCTTTAATCAGGCAAGCTCGCACTAACATGTTGGACCTGAATCTTTTTTTAATTGCAGCTTTGACACAAATATCTAAATTGGGCTGAGGCATCCAATCTGATTCCATAATCCGCCTCCCCCTCCCCGCCCCCGTTCCTTCACTGCTTCATTGTATACACTTGTCATCTGCTCCTTAGTTCTGGCACCCACAAGCTGCAATAACCTAGAAGCTTTTCACAAGAACATTTCCACTTCCGTGCAGGCTGTAGATTTTCCTTCCAGATTGAGAACTCCCCAGGGATTCTACAACTTAATGCTTTCCCCAAGGAACTACACACCAAGAGACCACTTTGGAAGAATACAGAGAGACAAAGAAAAACGTAGATTCTCTAGTGTACTTTAAATTTTCATGCGTGACTAGCTGTAGATTGTAATTTGAGAAGGAGATCCCGAAATGAAACATCCAATCTTCTTGTGCCCTCTTGTGTCAAAAAGGAGTACTCCAAAGATCAAAATACATTTATCTTCCTGAAAGTCCTGCTTGTAAGAGCTAGACTAAGTGCTGTGGATCAGATAGACAAGGAAAAACTTATATAAAGGTGACTGTGCAGATGTACAAATTTTGGCATTCTCCCATCCAAGAACTAACCAAGCCCGACCCTGCTTAGCTTCGGGATGAGATCGGGCGCGTTCAGGGTGGTATGGCCGTTGTGGCATTGTATATAGACCAATCAATTTAATCCCCATAGCAGCCCTGTGGGGTCAGTGTAAGGACTGCTCCCCTTCTACTGATGAGAAACTAGACCCAAGGAGCTAAATAACCTGCCCAAGGTCACAGCATAACTAGGCAGTAGATGCAAGGTTTGAACCTGGCTCTAGAATCTTGAGTTCCTGATATTGCGCTTTGCTCCCTTGATAGGTTGAAAGGTTTCTTTTCTGATGAACTGAACTCCAGGCCTTCTATTGATTGACTGAGAGGAAGGCAGGATCTGTGAAAGGACTTAGAAAGGACATGTGATATGCAGACACAGGGTTGCGTGAAGGATCTATTGACCCCCTGGTGTCTGCAGTGACATGCTGAGGTGTGAGCAGGTTAGTGCTAGACCAAGGCACCTATCCCAGTGAGCAAATGCACCCTGTTGGGCATAAACCTGAGACCTTCTCACTGAAAGCTGTCAGGGACCCTCCTGTGCCACCAGATGTCAGCAAGAAATGCTGTGAGACCATGTCAGTGTTGTCTCAGTATGTGTTCATTTCTGTTTTCTTGTTAGGAGGGCTTCAGATCAGAGTACAACTTCAAGCCTTGCACCTCATGGTCATGGCACTGCCTGACGCTAACAGGGATACAGCCCAGGTATGTCCTTTTCGATGTCATGGCCTGTCATCAGAGGCTCTTAGTGCTCAGAGGAAAAAATAAACACAGAGGTGACAATTCGCTGTTTCACCTGAAGCATGCTGCCAACCCCCGTCCTCCCAGGCTTCCGCTGACATCCTCCTGAGCATGTCAGAACAAATAGAAAGCCTGGATTCTTCCTTGAAGATTCGCCTTGCACTCATCTAGTCCTTCAGGACCTAGCGAGTGTCTACCACATGCCAAGCACTGAGCTAGGTGTTGGGTATAGTTAAACAGAACAGTGCCAGAAGTAAATGAGACCATAATGTTACGTTAGAAGTATGAGAAGTCTAAGAGAAGTTCATCAAATTGCACATTACAAAAAACTATGCCTCACTTTCAAATTTTTTGCACCATGAATTCTCTTTTTATTACCTTTTTTAACGAACATTCAGTCTGGTCTCCCACATAGGCAGTAGAGATCTAAGTGCTTGAGCCAGGTACGTCTCAAGGTACGCAGCAGCAGGTGGCTGGCCAGGGCTCATGACAAACACTCTGTCATGGGATCTGGGCCTCCCAAAGGGTGATTTTACTGCTGTGCCAAGTACGTGTCACAGTAGTAAATATTTTCAAATTTTTCAGGTGGGTTTATGTTTCAGCTGATGGATGAGAACCTAATGTTACTTAAATGAATTTTCCTCTCCCAGGGAGACAGCAAATAGTTTTCAACAGTAATGTTTTCATTTAAAGATTTTTTAAAATTGCTTTTCTTCCTTCACAACATAGTCCATGTTTCATGATTGTTTGCGGTGCAATGTTTGTCTGGCTTATATTTAATTTTGATATTTTTATAAGACCCATTTAAGATAGAAGAAGAAAATGCAAATTTATTTGTAGAAACTACAACAAAATAACCTGCATAAACTGGAGCTACTGGTGTGGATAGTTAATCAACCGGTGATGTCTCTTCTTAGCATTGTTGAGGAATCGAATGGGAAACATGACATGTTTAGCCATCAGACTTCATGCCATTTTCTCACAGCCCAGTGAATGGGTTTAGAAATGAGTGGTAGCAATCGTGTTGCCTTTTGATCATTTACAATCCTGTGACTTAGTCCTTTTCTTGTTAGGCGCTCATGACATTCTTCAACAAAGTGGTTGCCAATGAAGCCAAAAACCGCATGAGCATGTGGAACATTTCAACTATAATGGCACCAAACCTTTTCTTCAGCAGAAGCAAACATTCTGACCATGAAGAATTACTGTTAGCAAACACTGCAGCCCACATCATCCGCCTCATGCTGAAGTACCAGAAGATTCTGTGGAAGGTGAGTGACAGCTGGTCAGTATCCTGTTCCTGGGAAGGCTGCACACACCAGAATGGTTCTGTGATGGAGCAGTTGGCTTAGTCATCAGCAGGGAATGCAGGGAAACCGTCCCAGGTTCCTTGTGATGTCCTTCCACGGCTGTGGGCTGCACACTCAAGCCTCCAACCGACCACAGATCAAAAATACTTTTTAGGAAAGTTACATCTATGTTGAACAGGTACAGATTTTTTCTTGACATTATCTGATAACCAATATAGCATTATGACTGTCCATGTGGGAATTGTGTTTGGTGTTATAAGGAATCTAGCGATGATTTCAAGTCTGTAGGAGGATGAACATGGGTTATATGCATGTATACTGTTTTTAGGGTACTTGGGCATCTGCACATTTTGCTTTCCATCAGGGTCCTGGGACCAGCCTTCTGCAAATACCAGAGGATGCCTGTGCATTCTTGAAGAGCTCCTGATTAGCATGATTTTCTCATGAGACTGTAATCTTGATAGATTTTCTGTACAAGGACAAATGCCACAGCTATCTGAAATACCCAAGTTCCGGAATATTCTGAGATATTAACTCAATCAGTTACCACAACTGAAGGCAGAATGTGCTAGGGAGGTACAGTGTTCGTTCTCCACTCAAAATTGTGTTCTTCTCCAGGTGCCATCCTTCTTAATCACCCAAGTAAGAAGAATGAATGAAGCCACCATGTTGTTAAAGAAGCAGCTCCCAAGTGTGAAAAAGCTGCTTCGGAGAAAGACCATTGAACGGGAGGTAACGTGAGCAAATGAGGCATGGAGGCACTCACCAGCAAGCTTTTCATTTCTCAAAGGGAGGCCCGGGGTGTGTGCTGTGCCACCATAGGATGAAAGTTGCAACGCTAGCTTTCTATACGCAGAACACGGCTCCCATGGAGCATCCTAGATAGACTTGAGTCCTGGCGATTCTGTTTCCTATCCAGTGCCTTGCCAATACTCCTGGTAAACTCATAAGGGTTGCCCAAATGGTTCCTGGCCTTGACTTGGCCCTGCACCCACTGTGCTGGGCATTTTGGAGAAAGAACCAGTGGAAACAATCACCCTCACTCTAGGGGTGTGTGTGCGTGCCTCTCTAAAACTGCATGGTTGTTCAGTGAATTTTAGTATGCTCAGAATATGGTGTAGCCATCACCAGTAAACATGGCTTCCACTATTCTTCGCATACTTAAAATAAAATTTGAAGGCTTTTTATAGCAAATCAAATGCCTGGGTTTCTTAGGGAAGAGTGTCTTGTGGAACTATTGGAACTTTTTGCAAAACTAAGTTCAGTGTGTACTGGCCATATTTTCTTGCCATTTTTGCCTTTCTTAAATTATTTGTTGAAGACTGGACATGTTGGTGTGTTATGATTGTGAGCACTTTGAAAATAAGCGTTGTTCTCCTCCCGGAGGTTGTCAGTGTTGGTTGTTTTTCTAGTGCTTTTTCTATTAAACCCATTTTGTAAAAATCTGTATTCTTTGTTTTATGTGGCTGCTGTTCTGTTAGCTTAATGATTACTTAATGATTGGGCAGAGATTTCCTTAAATGCCTGAAACCAAAGGGAAAAGACGTTGCTCCTAGTCTTTGCACAGGAGCTCTCTGTGTTTGGGGCCAGCCACATCTGTTAACTAGGTATTCTGCAATTCTTTGGTGGCCTTTGCTTCTAGCTTGCACAGCCTGAAGGTCTTCCAGAGGTGAAAACTTAGTACCTTCTAGGTCACGTGAACAGTCTTTTTTTTTTTCTAAGATTTTTATATTTTTATTGAAAAGGCAGATTTATAGAGAAGGAGACACAAGAAAGAAAGGTCTTTCATCTGCTGGCTCACTCCTCAGGTGGCTGCAATGGCTGAAGCTGAGCCAGTCTTAAGCCAGGAACTAGGAGCTTCTGCTAGGTCTCCCATATGAGTGCAGTGTCCCAAGGTTTTGGGTTGTCCTCCACTACTTTTCCAAGCCAAAAACAGGGAGCTGGAAGGGAAGAGGAGGAGCCGGGACAGGACCTGGCTTTCATGTGGGATCCTGGCAGTTGCAAGGCAAGGATTTAGCTACTAGGCTGCCGTGCGGGCCCCAGGTCATGTGAACAGTCTTGGGGAGGAATTGAAATTTCTAGATTGTTAGGAGTGTATCAGAAGTTTTAAAGCTCTTCTTCTCTCGGCCTACAGTACTGCTTCCTTACACTATTAGTCATATTTTCTTCTCTCCAGTTCTTGTCTGTAGCATCAGACAGCTTTGACTGAACCATCTGCCCATAAATGCTTTCAACATGACCTCCTTTTAGCACCCCTCAGGTTCCAAGTTAGACTCGATAAAGGCAAGCCCTTGGAGTCAAGCTTTCTGGGAGCCACGGGCAGGTTAGAACATGAAAGTGGAATTGTTCGTAAGTAAGGCCAGTTCTGTCTCTTCTGGCGCATGTGCCAGGGACACGGTGTGAGCCAGGGAGCAGGGCTGGAAAAAATATTAAGTGTATAAGCCACAAAGTTCATTGCTCTTAAGCAGATTCAGCTGTTTTTCTTACATAAGCATTTTCCAGATTGTAACCTCTGGGTTAGTATGCTGAGCTCTGAGAAAGTCAATATGTCTGGCTTTCCCAGTTCATCCATTACCTCTATGGACAGACAGGTGTTTTGGAGCTTCTTGCTCTTCCATTTTCACTCTGGAACATATTAAAGGCACAAGGATGATATGCAGAGCTAAAGCTTTGGTTTTAAATCGTGTTAGCCTGAAATTCTCTCTTTGAACCTCAATGCTCTTATCTCACAAATTGGGGGAAAGAGTAGTAAAGACATCTCTCACAGAGTCGTCATTAACATCAGCTCACATCATGTATGTAAAGCATCATGTATGTTGCTACATGGATGTCAGGCATTTCAGTGTTTTCATTGCATAGAGGACCAAGATAGAATTCGAAGACTGTCAGCACTCTGGAACGAAAGTACTTAGAGACTGAGCACAAGTCTTTCTTTAGTTTGGTTGTGCTCTGCCTAGCTTTCTGTCCTTAACTTTGATTGAAATAGACAATTTGCTCTCATGCTACAAATTCAAAAGTTGGAGCCATTTGGATTAACTCTCCTGGACAGAAATAATGCTATCCATGATGAATTGTGTGCAGGGAAAAGCAGGCAGGTGTAGCCTGCAGAGATGTTTTATGTACAAATGAGCAGGTATGACCATGTGCTTCTCCCTTCTTCCTAAGTGGAGAATAGCACACAGGAAACACTGTCCATCTCGTATTTTATGGACTTAAGATATGACGGGCAGATATATATAGCACTTCAGATATATTACATTGCTTTGGTTTGCATCCTAGCAGCACTTCCATTACCAACATCCTGCATATTCACACACAGGAGACATTGAAATCCTTGCTCCCTTCCTCTCCTGTAGGAGACCCAGATTAAGTGCTAGACTCGCAGCTTAGACCTGGGCCCAATCCCAGCTGTTGCAGACACTTGGGGAATAAACCATGGGTGGACACTCTCTCTCTCTGTATCTCTCTATTTCTTTGATTTCAAATAAAATAAATAAATGAAAATAAATAATGGTAATTGTACCATGTAAATCAATAAGGCCTTCTTTGCTGCTTTGGCATGAAATCCCACAGACATGCAACGATTGATGGAAACAACCCATATTATTGAAAGTTAGATTGTGTCCTGTTGCTATTACAGTTTGTGCTTCAGCGAATGAAGTTGTGTATGAATCTTTTTCACAAATGAGTATAATATAGGATAGATTCAGATGTAAAATTGTTGGGTCAAAGTGAATATGCATTTTATAGTTTGATAAATATTCCCAACATATTTTCCATAAAAAAACTGCACTGATTTATACCTCCTCTAACAGCTTATTTTCACAACATGAATCCTAAACACTAAGTATGCTTTTGTTTTTGTTTTGATTTTAGATTACAGGCACCAAGACTTCAAAGGTACTACAGAAATCACCATCATCAAGAAGAGTGGTAAGGAAATAAGTCATTTCCTCATGTCCCTGTTAACTACCTTGGTGGTAGCACGCTCTGGCTGCACCTTCCTTCAGCTTGACATTTTCAGGGTGATACATGGAGCAGGGACTCAAGACACTGTTGCCTTGTGAAGTGTGGTTAGGCATCCTGGATGCAAGTCAGGAACGTTACTGAAAATCTCAGGGGATTGGGATGATTATGATCATAATAAAGATGGAGGGGTGGAGTTTCTTACCAGGACTTCTGGGGAGTTAGCGAAAAATGGGGTGATCAAAGGAGTATTTTAAGTGTGCAGTCTTGGCTGCAAGGAGCAAGGAACCCCCAACCAATGCAGTTCCTTCAATATCCACCCCCCTGACATGCTTTCCTGGTTTTTTTCTGAAAAATGAACCTTCTTTTAAAATATTTGATATTCATTTCTTAAGGTTTCCATAATGGGATGCTGCAAACAGGGTGACTTAAAACAGGACACATTTTTTTCCTCTTGTGGTTTTGAAGATTCAATATTCAAACTCAAGGTGTTAACAGGATTGATTCCTTGTGAGGACTGTGAGGGTGGGGTCTGGCCCTTGCCTTACTGCTGGCTTTTGATGAGGCCAGCAGTCCTTGGCATTGCTTAGCTTGCCCTGGAACACCACAGTCTCTACCTCCATCTCCCTGTGGCCCTCTCTCTGTGGTTCCCAATGTCTGTGCTCTTTTTATTAAGGCATTGGTCGTATTACATTAAGGGCCCACCTTATTCTCATCTTGACTAATCACATCTCAAAGAACTTGTTTCAAAAAAAGGCCACCTTCTGAGGTTCCGAAGGTTATTACATCGGTATATCTCATGAGGCAACAATATTCAACCCATATGCATTCTAGGGTATGTTATTGATTTGATTCATGTAAATCTTGACATTTAAGAAATCCATCCTTGCAGAACACAGTTGTTTCTAACGATTACCTGACAGAGGCCACATCCTGAAACAAATAGAAATTTACTTTTGTTCATCTTCTAGGCAGAGAACTAATTTATTGGGAATTCAGAGTTTGAAAGAAACTTCACCGGGAAGCATCAGTCTTTGAATGTTCCATGTAGACCAGGGCTCCAAGGTCCATGGGCCAGTCGCATCTTAGGAAAGCAGAGACACCTCCTTCCCCAAGCACATTGCTCTGCGTGGCGCTGCCAGCAAGCTTCCTGGGGTCCAGTTGCAAGTGTACATGTGGAATGCGGTCCAGGAGGTTGATGGCAGCTGATTAACACACAGAGAGAAAGATCTTCTAGTTCACTCCCCAAGTGACTACAATAGCTAGAGCTGAGCCAATTCAAAGCCAGGAGCCAGGAGCTTCTTCCAGGTCTCCCATGTGGGTGCAGGGTCCCAAGGCTTTGGGCCATCTTCTATTGTTCTCCCGTGCCACAAGCAGGAAGCTGGATATTAAGTGGAGCTGCTGGGACTTGAGCATTCACCCACATGGAATTCTTGCACATGCAAGGTGAGGATTTAGTCACGGAGCCATCACACCAGGCCCACATTTTGCCATTTTACATGCATATATGTGTACACTCACACACTTACATACTACTTATTCAAAGCAATAGTGCAGAACCTGGCACGACAGCTCAGTGGCTAAATCCTTTAATTGCATGAACCAGGATCCCATAAAGACACCAGTTTATATTCCAACTGCTCCGCTTCCCATCCAGCCCCCTCGCTGCTTGTGGCCTGGAAGAACAGCAAAGTCGGCTCAAAACCTTGGAACCCTCTACTGATGTGAGAGACCCAGCAAAATCTCCTGGCTTGCTCCTGGCTCCTGGCTTCGGATTGGCTCAGCTCTGGCCATTGCAGCCACTTGTGGAGTGAAGCAGTAGATGGAAGATCTTTCTCTGTGTCTCTCCTTCTCTTTGTAAATGTTCCTTTCCAATAAAAATAACTTAAATTTTTTTTTAAAGAAAGAAAACAACAGTGGATACATATGTTAGTATCAGTTAATGTGGAAATCAAGACAAAGATTAAATGTGGAAAGAGAAATATATTATTATGTAAGCCTAAGGGATATAATTCAGTGAGAATCACATTTGTGAGTATTTATATACCAAAGAATAGAGATCCACACTTGGTTTTTTTTTTTTTACAATATTTCTTATCTTCCACACATGAGAGAAAGCATGTAATATCTTTCTATATTTGACGAAGCCATTATATCTAATTACTCCTTAAAATTTTCTGAAAGTTAGCCCTCTTAGGATATATTGAAGTTAAGAATTTTGCCTTAAATTGACTTATTTAGGACATTAAATTATTAGAAATTTTGTATTTATGTAGTTGTCCAGTTTGCGCCCTGTCTTATCTCTAAGGCATTATAGAAAGGCCTTTTTTATGTAGCAAAAATAAAATCCAATATTTAATTTAGTCATTAGTGAGTCTCCTGGTAAATGAGAAAGAGGTGATTCCTTCTAGAAGAAGCTGGTCATTCTTACATGGTTCCCTAAGCTGAATGGTGAAGATGTCCATCTCTTAAGCGCAGTCCTTGGATCCCTGTTTATGCTAGTTTGATGGAATGACTAGGATTTTTCGTCTTGGCAGTCTGACGTGCCAGAAGGAGTCATCCGGGTCCATGCTCCGCTGCTCTCAAAGGTGTCCATGGCCATTCAGCTGAACAGTCAAACCACAGCCAGGCACATACTGGCGAAATTCGAGTATGAAAACAGGTGAGTAGAACCTGAAGGCATTGCTCTGAACAGAGAGCAGAGCTTGCATGCATCAAGAGCCTCTCCAGGCCTTTGCAGATTTGGCCTTTGGAAAATCAGATTTGCTGCCTTGAAGATGGTTAATAGACAATATAGTGTTAGTGACAACAGGTTGTTTTTTTTTTAAAAAGGAATTTCTACAAATTTCTAATTGATACGGTCTGTCTTCAAGTCTTCATTTACTCAAGGAATTTTACCTTCTATTGGAATGAAAACTATGGCAAGTTAGTTTTATAAGTATGTTGGTAGATTTCCAGGAGTGTGTTTAGGCTGGTTTCCCTTGCGGGCTCAAAGCTGTGGCTTTTAACACCTTCAACAACCCTTAGGATCTGGATGATACTTACACAAATTCTGTGTGTGTCTGCCAGTTGCCTTAAAAGAGCATAAATCATAATTGTTGTCTGAGTATGTTGATTCAAGGATTAACATTTGCCCTGAGGGTTCCAAATTTGTGCATTGGGGAGCAATTGTGGTTTCATGATCTGTAGTAAAGGATATCTGGTGGATCTCCTTTCAGGGAATTTCAGGGGTGGGGGTTAGGCTTAGCAGATAAGGCTTTGCCTGAGAGATGTACATCCTGTATTTTTTTTTTCATTTTTTATTATATTTTTGACAATCTTTACATAGCTAATTAGGGTAAAAAGGTTCAAGGGCTATAGGAAAGTAGGTAAAACTATTATTTTCATATTGTTTCCTTCATGTATCTGAGGTAAAGGGGGATATTGTGGGAGAAGTCCCACCCAGTTTGCCACCCATCCCAGGTCCCGGATGTGGGGCATGCCCTGAAATACTTGCTCAAGTGGTTTTGATAGTTCAACATTTGTGAGTCGCTGCCAATCTCACCACTCCAAGCAAATGTGATCGTTAAAGAATCCACTGGTTGACACAGTCCATCATAGAGTCTCCATTTGCCCAGTATTTCGCTGCCAACATATAGCTGAGGAGGTTGATTGACTTGTTCTTTCTTCTCTCTTTTCTTGGTTAGGGTTCTGAGTCCAGCATTTCAATTAGGGAGATCCCCAAACAAACTTTGAGGTATTCCCAGACCAGATTCTTGTGTGTTTTAGCAAGCACAGGGCCCGGCACAGTCCATTGCCCCTATCAGCTGGTGATTGCAATTGCTGGGTTGGTTCTGCTTTCACTCCCGACTTCCACTGGAACCAGTGGGTGTTGCAGTCCAGCCTGGTTCTGCCCAGTACATACTTGGCCCTCCCTCACATAAACCAGTGGGAGCTGCAGCCTAGTTGGAGCGACCCACAATAACCCCCACCAGGCCCCCCCCCTTTGTTTGCCAGTGTGTATAGCAGACTAGTCCAGTCTGTCCCACATCCCATTTGGCTCTCGTACATGTTGATGGGTATTGAAGCTTAGTTCCGTCTAACCAGCTCAACTATCCAGCCCTCATAGATGTTGTTGAGTGCCTCTCTGTCTAGCCACCCCAGCCCCCATCCTAGTTTTCGTGCCCTCCCGTGGGAGTGGTAACCCAAGAGGGAGGAGCCCACTATTTCCCTCCCAGGCCACTCCCACTCCCGGATTATGCACTCTTCAGGTGGTTCTGTGGTTTAACTTGACAGAATTAGCCTCCATTGCCAGCTTCTGCCAGCTGATGCTGCAGCTAAGCCCAAACAATCCTCACCCACTCTAATTTATGCTTGCAGTAGGAGTAATCAGCCCAGCCTGGCTTTTCCTTGATCTAGTCCACATGAGGCACACAGGTATTGCAGCCCTGCTTAGTCTGCCCCCATCCCAGCCCACGCTCTCCAGTGGGAGTAGCTGTCCAGCAAGGGAGCCCCCCCTTATTCCCCCTGCTGGCTCTGCCCCCTCCCTTTCTGGTTCTCATGTGTGCTGGTTGGGTGCTGCAATCACGTACGGTACAGGCAACCTCACCTTGGCATTCCATGTTGTGCACTGGTTTTTGTCGCGACCGAATCTGGCCCAACCCACACTCTGTTCTGGTGCTCAGATTTGCCAGTGGATGATGTGAACTGATTCAGCCTGGTCTGCCCCTGACCCATGCCAAATGTATGCCAGTGCGAAACTTTCCATGGCCTATTCTGGGCTGTTTCCTGTCATGCTTCTTGTGCTTACCTGCAGGGACTATGTCCTGCCAGAGGAGTTGCCCAGGCTCCACCATCAGAAACCCTCCCAATGCCAGATTTTTACGCATACCAGGGGTTCCAAGAGCCAGACCTACTTAGTTCACCTCCTATGCTAGCAAGAACAGTGGCTTTTCCTGACTGGCCTTCAACCCAATCTGGTTCTTGCTGTTGGATGTTTTAGCCCAGCCATGGCTCATCCATACCCACATATGGCTCACACATGGCTCAGTAGGAGTTGAGACTTAGCCTAGTCTGTCCCACATCTACCCTGGTCCTCTAGAACACCAGACAGTGTTGGGGTCTGGCCCAGCCTGGTGCGTCCAGTCCCAGTCCACACTTGTGTCAAGGGAGACTGCAACCATTTCCTGATCAGAATGCAGCCCCCATTCCAGCCCACACACCCCTTGCTGGGAACCTCCACCCAGCTAGGGTGTCCCCTTAATTCCCCAACCAGGCCTGTTCCCAGCCATAGATCACGCGCGTGCCAGTGGTTGCTCTGACTCAGCTTGGCTCAGCCCCTCACCTGTCCCAGCCTCTGCCTTAGACACTGTGGCTTAGCATCCCTGACTCACGCAGACCAGTAGGTACAAAAGCCTAGCTCAGCATGACCTGTGCTCCATGCTGGTTTCTAGTTTCACTTGTAGGCTAAGGTTTGCTCGGTCCTGCCCAGTACATCCCGTTCCATTACCAATTCATACATTGGCCAACTGTTGGAGCTACCCTGCCCAGCTTGTACGACCCCCAGGTCTGGACCACATGTTCACCAGCAGGAGCTGTGACTCACCAGGGGAGTTTCCCAAGTTCCTCCACTTGATCCACTCCCCGACCCAGTTCTTATACGTGCCCTTGGGTTTTAGGCCAGTGCCCAGCACAGTCTGGTCTTCCATTTGGCCATGTATGAGCTGGTGAACATTGCAGCCCAGCCCACCCCACACCCTATTCAGGATGCACATTCGGGTGCTGCTGCCTTGACCAGTCCAGACTGTTGCGGGTTCCTTTAGCTGTGATTGATGGCAGGTTCCTTGATCACACCTAGCTTAGTCCATCACCACCCCATCTCTTGAGCTAACCAGTGGGGCTAGAATTTCCACAGGGTGTGGCCCACACATCCCCCACAGAATCTGTCCCCGGATATGGTTCTCGAGTGCTAGCTAATATCATGGCCCTGTCTAATGTGACCCGTCTGCTGATCCATCATCATGTCAGGTAATAGGATATCCTGCTGGTTAAGCCCCGAGCCTTAGCTTTAGCATGAACTGGTGTTCAGTGCTCAGCATTGTTAAGTGATTACAAGTTTTTCAAAGGAATCTTTAGGATTGACTCACATCCCAGAAGCACAGTGGATTCAACCTGGCTCTACCTAAGCAGCGATTCAAAGAACCAAAACCCTAGAGCTCCCCGACCGGGTGGCCAACAGGTAGAACCTGGCACAATTGGTGCCCTGGCTGCCCATGGACAACTCACCACGTGCACGTGGTAGCTGGTGTGTGGGATCCAGGCATGAGACTAGCTCTGATCCCAGCTCCAACTTCCCTCTAATAGATGCCTTGGGAAAAAATTGCTCCCTCAAGTAGTCAAGTCCCTACCAGTGTGAGAGACCTGCACTGAGTCCCTGGCTCCCAGATTCAACTGGCTCTGCTCCAGCCACATGCTCCCCATGATTTTGGGGAAGTGACCCAGTGTTTGGGACCTTTGTCTCTTTTTCTGACTCTGCCTCTCAACAACAACAACAAACAAGTCTGATTGTATTTAAGGAAAATAGTCCTGTTGAGCAAAGAAAAGCAATTGCAAAAGTACAGATATTATATAATTCAATTTATATATGTTTTTGAAATGACAAGATTATATAAGCGATAGGCAGATTTGTGGGAGGGATAAGTTTGGGAGGGAGATGTGTCTAGAAATAGGGAGAGCTGGAGGGGGGAAAGGAAGAAAGAGAGCAAGAGGGAGGGAGAAGGAAAGAAAGAGAAAGAAAAAACTGAAGAGAGGCGTAGGAGGAGAAGGGAAGGGAGACAGGAAAAGCCTGTGAAATTAATCTGTAAGTTAGGAGTGCGGCTCTCTGCTCGGGATGAAAGGTGTGGTGACTAAGAAGGCATTTGGCAGCTTCCAAGTTCTTCCTGTAAGCTAAAGGTACTGATTACATGATACATCCACTTGAAAATTTGGTCAGCTTTTATATTGATGATGTATATAAGTTATTTATGTGCATAGATGAATAGATTGGTTTATATTTGTGTGCATAAACACATTTTAAATGAAAGATTACATTAGAAAGGAAGGATAGGAAGAACAAAAGAAGTCCCATGGAGTTGCCCCTTCTGTGATTCGTTTTATATACCAGCCGCCAAGAAGACATTTATCTCTGTCTCCTGCTGACCTAGACACCTGAGATACTATGAATAGCACCTGTAGGCAGATCTGCTCTGCACTTGAAGTGTGATTCCAGGGATTTGGGCATCCCACTGATGCTTAGTTACATGTGTTACAAAAGCTTAACTTTTGTGGCTAGAAAATATTTCGAATAAAAATGAACTACAACTACAACGAACCCTTTGTAGCAGCTTATTCAGAGTCCACTGTAAGGACGATGGCCTATTTCAGCTTAAAAATTGTCAACTGGCCAAGTTCTGGCCCTTATCAGCCCAGGCTTACTTCCCAGCTGCCTCGCCTGATCACTGTCTGCTGTTAAAGTAAAAAAGAAGGGAGGAAGAGTGCCTTTCTTTTCGTTTGCACCTTAAACCCTTGCAGAGGACATAACGATGGACAAGAAGACTGAAAGAGGTTTACTTCCAAGACTATAGGCCCTAAGAAACAACACTGATGACTTCTGGGAGTTTGCTTAGTCCTCCCCTGAATCCCACA